TTATTTCAAAGTCTCTGAAACTTATTGACAAATATCAAAATCTTACATATAAGTCGTATCGCTAAGCGGTTCATTGATTATTCAATTTGGAGATTTTGGGCTCAAATTATTCATAGAGAAAAGGGGGGAATGTAAAAGAAACTGGACATGCAACTTGTCCTTGCGTTATCGATTGAATATAATCGTATAATCATGTAATTCTTAACGAGTTATTTTCTCTGCACATCATGATTCCATTCGTAGATGTGATCAGGTCCCTGTACGCTACCATGATCAGATATATCACAAGTGCCCTAGCTTGTGTGAAAACTTAGAATATTAAAGAGCTATATTCAATCCCATGCTGGGGAGAACAATATATCGGCCTGAGTCTGTCTGTGTCCTCAAAATTATAGCTCAGTTGACTAAGCATCTGACTAGAAAAAAGTAACTGGGGCTCGAATCCTGACAATGGGACTCGGAACGGGATGGGACGGGAGGCTGGTGAAGCATTGATCAACATCTATCTTCATTTCTGGCTCTATGCAGAGAATAGACAGAAAACTCTCTGCTTTTTTTTTTTTTCCAAGGTATATGTCCCCTTCCACCTCAGACCGGACACTGCAGAGGATACTTTCCGAGATACCACTTTGATGAGGCCAGCGGTCAGTGTGAGAAGTTCATCTACGGTGGTTGCGGAGGAAATGAAAATAATTTTGAAACTTTGAAAGAATGCCAACAAACTTGTAAGTTTCTTGGATTTAAAAAAGGATAGGTCTAGATATGTCTTTATATCTAAGTCATCTTGAATTAAATATTGAAGGGACACAAAATTGCTTTGTGAGTAATGTACAATAGATACACTTATCAGTTAAACAAGCTGGCGAGTTATATCAATTGTCACACCTTGGATTGAAATGTGTGAAGGCCCCTGTATGCTGACAGGATGAAGGTATTAAACTAGAGTGAGAAAATTCGGGAAAAAATTTTATACATTCTGAGCTTTGCCATTGCTATCGGGTAACGTAGGAAAATCACTAGTGGCACGGAGTGCTATAAGGAGCCCTTGAGATTTAGTTCTTGTCTTGCTTTTCTTTAAGGTGGGGCGAAGTAATGAGATATTGCCCAAATGGAAACCGGTTTTGACAGGAAATGCAGTAAGTTAAATTAAAGATTTATTTCTACCTTGTACCTCCATGTTCGCCTATCAGCTGTTTATGAACCCATAGTGAATGGAAGTCTGAGAACGATAACTACAATGAGATTTTGGAGTTAATTTTTCTATCATTAAGTTTTCAGTAGCCGGTTGGATTAATAATTAATAACTTTAATGAAAATAATTTTAGCACCGAACTCAATTTCATGCATTTACGCCGGCTTTGCTATCGCTATGCAACTCGCAAACTGTCCTCGCATATCAACTGTTCAGGAACCCGGGTCCTTTTTTACAAGCTTCACCACTTGAAATTGGTATTCTTTCAATTATGAAACTAATTTTAATCCCTTTGTTAGTAAGGTAGTGGAAAATCTTCCTTTATCGATAAAGCCTTGTTCGCTCATGGCGCATGACACTCGATGATCCTAAGTTACTTCTCTCTGAAAAGAGCGTGATATTCCATTTTGATTTTCTACACATCACTGGTACAACGAACGCACCGGTAGTAGATTTTCAGCAAATCATTCATCATTTACTCATTATTTACTTAACAATTGGTTTCTGAAAAATAACAACAAAAATAACATCAATCTTACAGTGATTTAAAATGGCAATAAGCAAAGTAAATGAAAATCGAAAGGAGAAAGGTCAGCAATAACGTACTTTACAGTGACGATACATGTACAGTACGAAAACTTGTCAATAAACCGACACAGGGACATTGTTGGAAAACTGACTAATTGGGCTCGAAAACTTTATTAAAAGACTGATACCGTGCGAAGATTGGAACTATTGTCATAGTTAAACCTGCTGAAAGACGTTGCAACAACATGTTCATAAAGAAGCACGTACCCCTTCATTTGCGCATGGAAAACTTCTTAAAAGTGAATTTGACGTGAATTCCTCGATAGCGAGGAAGACTTTGAAGGTTCTTTTTCCAAAAATGATAGCGCAAACCAATTTGTTTGCGTTTCTTGTGAAAATTAGAGGAGTAATTTTCGTTTAATAACATAACCTTCTTAAGTTTCGTCAATTTGATCAGCATCATTGGATTTTGTCATTTGAATGAGAGAAGATTGAGTTAATATTGAACAATTTTGTTTATTTGCAGAGTCTTCCGATTAATTTGCCCACCACATTTCAGTTACTCAGTTCCAAAAGAAGTTCTTCACAGCGTCATAACGTTAGAATAAATTTTTTTTGAAGCTTTTGCTGACTCCCATGACAGTATGATATTCTTCGCACTTGATCTTGTATTTGGTCAGCTGAGTGCTCTATTTTTTAGCTTTTTCTTGATGAATCGCTACAGCATTGTAATGTAGAGCAGTTACCGATTATTGAAATAAAGAGGAAAAACATAATTATTCAGCATGCACAATTTACATTTCTGAATTTGACTTCTTTTCACTTGATATTGTAAGTGGGAGACGCGGTGCCCCAGTTCTGACCGCGTTAGGCTCTGGATCGAGAGCTCTGGGGAGGATCTCAGGTATGCCTTCTCCGCCGACTCATGCCTCTCACTGCCACACTCCACTCATGGAAATCAATGAGTACCACCAGGCTTTCGGGGAAACCTATCGAAATGAATCGGACTCCTGACCATGAGGAGTGGCAACACCCACTTTATGGTAGAGAAACCCGACAGAATTTTTACCCTTTAACCCCTAAGAGTGACCAGCGTCTAATTTCTCCTTACAATGTTACCCCCAATCACATATTGAGGTCATGAGAATAAAGGAAATGGTCACCAACCAGAGTAACTGCGGATTATGAAACAAGTTCTCGTCATCAGCACGTAAGAGGTTATATACGGAACAGTATGGAGAATATGCATACTGATGTTAGAGTAGAAAGGGTTAAGCGGCGTTACGTGTTACAGCAGGTCTACGTATAAACTGAGTCTCTGCAACAGCTCGGCTAAATTTCGTCTCCATAAAGATTTTCAAATTAATGATCAAAGTTTTTAAAAAGTTTTCAAGCATCAGAGGCTTTAAAGGATAATTTTTTTAGCAACCAGCAAGGCGTGTTACAATCAAAATATGACGAATAAGGAGGGTAAGTTTCTAAAGAAACTGTGGTGCTGCGTCGGTTGGAAGTACAACAAAATAATTTGGTTGAGTTCTAAAACTGACATTTTGAGGGTTAGCCCTTTGTCAGAGAGAAACTGGATACGAGTTCACCATAACGTCACAAAGTTATTCCTCATCGGAGGTAGCTCAATCTCGTATGTGGGCTCCCGTAAGTATCTAAATATGGTTATGTTGTGCAAAAGGAAAAACCGCAAGAGTTAATTTGGGGGCAAACAGTCTCATTTTAAAATTCAACCCAAAACTCTGAACTAGTTTTGAATTTAAAAAAAAAAAGACCTCGTTTTTGTGTTGGTTCCTTTAAATCTTGTGCTTTTAGAAGGGTCAGGTATCGTATTACTGCTTAGCTCTTTTATTGAGTTCCTGTGGTTTTCATCCTAGAGGAGCATTGTATCGGCAAGGAAAAATCTTCTCTAAAAGATAAAGATTGTGAGTATTACACATTTCTCTGGGTCATGTCCTGCCCCCGAGAGGTAAATTCGGGTATGAGAATGACTTTTAGAGAAACATCCTCGTCAATAACCCCAAAATGATCGGAATTTCACACAATGAGAATTAAACTGATAATAAGATTTTTTTTTAATTCATTTCAGATTAGAAACTTTATTGCGACGTTACAACAAGCTCGACTTAAGGCTACAAATTTCAAAGCATTCTTGATGATTTAACAACAGGTGAAAAAAACACCTATATAACTAATTGTGCTAAGTTTTGAAAGGTCAGTATTTAAGTTACTTGATTTTGATGTAAGAGAGGCGAAATCATCCTCTGGGCTCCTAACGTACACGCATGGTGCCAGTCACACTATAGGAGAAGGATCTACAATGATGTAAAACAAAAAATGTTTTTAGATCATGATTTCAAGTTTCCCGAGAAGATAACTGATCTCACTTGTGAATGCATGCTGGGAGAAGTTTGATTAGTTGCTTTTAACGACTTTATGCTCTTATAAAAATACATTATTTTTAAAAATTCCAAAAAACACATCAATCCTATGCTGCTATGAATCTGATCATTATTCTAACGTAGATGTTGTCAAATTGTGCATCACTTACGAGAAAAAAAATGATCCTTTGTTTATGGCAGACACGCACTATTATAACTCGTCAACTTGTGCAAGGTAAACGTGTGTTTTATAATGAATCTATCAGGGTAAAGGCATAACAATGGTTTTCACTTATTATAACATCATTATAGTTTGTCACCCAAAAACCTTTCCCGGAAGTTCTTTTACTTTTGCGAGTAAATTTACCTCCACAAAAGACTAGACAAAAATTTATAAACTTACAGACACAAACGCTCCTGCACTCATTAAGTTTCTTGAAATTGTTCTGGTTACCCCGACATCCACCATAATAAAACTTCTTACATCTTTTAGTACGTTTGTTGTAGAAATATCGAGGGATCCGGGCCCTGCATGGTCCTACTTTTTTCGGCTGGTGGCAAATTGACTTTGGTTTAACAGCTGAACAAACAAAATGACAACAAAATCTACATGTACCATGACGAGGCTAACAAACGCAAGGCAAAATTAATTATGGCTTTCTATTGAAACGCATGATTTTGGCCTTTATATTATCTATATATTTTTTTTGTTGTTGTTGTACGTGTGGCTTGTACCGATTATAACAGTTATTACATCGAGGCTCATTTAAGGACGGTTTTCGTACAACCAGACAATTATCTACAAGCAATCATTTGTTCTGAAGCTTTGAGAGCATCAGCTTTGAAACTCTTTACTGTGGCAAATTTACATTATCAACTAAGTTGACGATATCAAAATTATCTTGAATTACTTACAAGGGCAGGTTTTGTCACATTGTCGAATTCTTTTAAAGTTGTTTACGTTTCCCATGCAACCTCCGTAATAGAACTTTTCGCATTTTTCGGTGCGGTGGTTGTAGTAATATCTACTGATCTTGGCTTTACACGGTCCAGTTTCCTTAGGGAAAAAGCATGTACCTTGAATGGACAGAAAAAAAGATAGATTACTAAATAAATGCTATCATCGCCAAAACTTCCACCAAGATTGCTTCGTTTCTCCGTTAATACTCCCGTCATGCATGTAAGTGCCACAAATATACAGCTCGCGTCGAAATAGGGATTTTTCTTGATTACTTACATCTTTTCTCACATTCCTGCTTTGTGAGAAAGTTATTTCCGTTTCCCTGACAACCACCGTAGATGAACCTCTTGCACTGACCGCTGGATTTATCAAAGTAATATCGCTGGAAAAACGCTTTGCAGAAGCCTGGTTCCTTAGGAAGGAGGCAATCGTCCGTCTTTCCGGTTTGACCGTACCCTTTGAAAAAGAATCATACACTTGGCATTAAATCGATTCACTGCGTGTTCAAGTTATTTCCGTTAGTCTACTGGATGCTCGGAGATAGGTTCCCACAATTTGTTCAGTTCAGTCGAGCGGTTTAGTACATTCTGTTCCCATTCCTTCTCAGTATAGTCCAAACATATCGTCACATATCTACGTTTAAATCCATTTTTACTACGAAATTATTTTGAATTTCGTAACCCAGATTTTTATTCAGGATGAGGAAGCTATTTCTCAATTAGAAAACATCTTAACGATGTCCTCATCCTTCACTACAGCAGACGATTTCCATTTTTTGAGTGGACGTTATATTTCAGTCAAATCTTTACTTTTTTGGAAAATAAGACGTAATTACTCCATTCGAAATAAAATAAAAATGCTTTTTCATCGTTCCTCCACCACGATATGTAAATTTTGGATCGGCCGGCAGGTGCCATCCAAATCACGCATAAAACTACGAGAATGAGGATGGGAATTACAACATCAGGATACGTCTTGAAACACAAGAACTCTCATCCGATTGGGGGAATGTTTTACAAATTCTTACGAAGTAAAGAAAATTTGATCACCAAGACACGGAACAAGCGATTACAAATCTCATACCTGCGTTAAACAGTAGCACCAAAGCTACAGACAATAGGGCTGACTTCATTTCGCCTACAAACGTTGAAACTATGTGATCAACACGACCAGTACTCCTCAAATTTAGCGAAAGTCGTGTGCGTGTTTCAGTCACGGAAATTGCGAGGGTCAATATGTATGTATTGCAAGTGTCAACATGGAAATAATTTATGAAAAAAATGTCTATGTTTTATTCAAAGAAAGAGGCCACGAAGAGGTAAAAAGCCCATTAAGACGTTTCAAGTTTCATAGAAAAAACGTCTCCAGAGGTACCCGTTTGTGTGAATGTCTTCTACAAAAGGGAAAACCTTTTGGTTCAAGCGGCATCAATACGTGTTTCAGCAGACGTATTTGCTTTTTTTAAAAAGGTTGGTCACATTCCGACACTTATCTGAAAATAATCCTCGACAACTATATATCGTGACTGAAGTCAGGTCTCCATATAATGTAAAGTTATCGTTATCTATAGGAAAGGAAGTGATTATTGTTCTAAGAATTTTAAAAATGGAAAGTGCAGTTTGAGCAATCAAAAAATTCTAAGTCTTGGTGATTCTTATTCACAACTGTTGTACATTCTATGCAAATAAGTTGTCCTTAATCCACGAAAGCTTCTGGACGTTAGCACTCATAATAGGATTGCTTTGACAACAATATTAAGGCGACAAAGGGTTTATAAATGAAAACGCTATTATGCCCAAAATAATGCTTGACACGTGAATGTTATAAAACGGCGAAGTAAGAAGAGATTTGAATTTGTCCCTTTTCAAATTTTTCGGCACAAATACTGTTTAGTACACGTGAGGCGAGAATTTTTCCACACTTTAGGCGTGTAATGGGATCACGACTCCGCCTCTCTTTAGCACCTTCCAATATCCCTTTTCTGATGGATGAGGTTTTGAACTGATCCATGTCACGATTAGAAAAGAATTATAAGGTTAAAAAAATATCAAATAGCTCGGATAAAGACTGGTAAAAATCTTTAAAGAGAAAAAAATTTATCACCCATTTAATATAACTTCTAAAATTTTATCACTAAATCTCGGTAAGAATATCTCGCGTCGACTTCGTAAACCACAATACGACTCACAAATCAATATTACTTAGGTAAAAATAATCTGTTTGTTCACGGCTGATGTACAAATATTGACAATCTCCTTTATCGAATCTCTAGAAATATCTGATTGTGCTGAAACATGTTTTCCTTTTCGCTGTCGAAAACGATAACTAATGTAAAGTTATCTTTGTGCTTGATGTGGCTCTTGGTGAAGTAAGCTGGCTCAAACAGTCATTCTTCGTTATTATTCCATTACCGAAAAAGCAAATTTCAATCAATGAAACTTTGAGAAAAAATTGCGCAAACGAGAACGGATCCATCTCGTTTTTTCGGGGGAGAGCTTCATATATACAGCAAACGCAAAATTTCGCTGAAAGGAGCTCGAACTTTCGCTAGAACTTTCCAGGAGAGATCGCAGGAATAAAAAACCAAATTCGCGTATTTCGTTTGCATTACTTCTGCATAATACTTTTATTTGTAAAAAGTAACACAACGCGAGTGCAAATGTAGCAAATAACGTTTATTTATAATTTATTCGGATTTAATTATTATCGATAATGTCTCGTCATTTTCATGTTTTTCTCTTGGCTTTCCACCTTTCTTCGCAATAGCTGGTTTCGTTTCTCAATCCTGCTTGATCTCGCACGAGCTTGTTGTATTTGCCATTGTTGAGTCTCTGAATCTTGGCCCTGTGACAGGTGGGTCGCTGCGAGTGTTTGGGATGTTGACGCGGTATTTGGCGCAGAAACGCTTATCAGGCGAAAACGGCTGAGGGACTGGGTTCTACGAAGCTGGTCTCCACTTCGCTGATGTTCCTAAAGATTCAAACTAACTTAGTAAGAATTAAGTCACCTTGATTTTTTTGTCTCTGAACCTTAATTACAGATTTTCTTAAAAGTCTCCAGAATTATGCATCTCGAAAGACAAATAGCAGATTGATAATTGACAAAAACTTGGGAATGATAGAAGCTAAAATAATAATAAAATAAAATAGTGTTGCCATGATAACCATGCAAAAGATGAAAACCTTTTGAGCAATCATTGTACATTGCTTGAAAACCATTTTATTTACTGAAAACAAAGGAAAATTTTGAGACGCATTAAAATCATCAAGTCTTGTATCAGTGGGGCAGGTGATATTTAAATTTTGTAGTCATTATTCAAGCAGAAAATTCACCCTCAAGAGGCCAAGGAAGACTGTTATTGAGGCTCTGAGACGCGGTATATCAGCCAGAGGAAATGGAAGTTCACCAGACGGCGTTACAACACTCACTCATATGCCAGTGCCGAACAGTCTTTCTGTCTGTCACATAATTATTCAGTAGAGAACGGTCCCTTGCTCATTCTTCTCTTTCTTTGTTATTTGTTCGTCTGTTGGTTCATATTTTCATGTATCATAATTAAATGGTTGTTTACTCAGGTTAGTTAATAAATTGAATGACCATACTCTCTCGCAAGTCAGTGATTACTCCGACATCAGATACCTCTGTAAATGTCCTTGCACGACGCCTTCCGACAGCAGCATGAGCGACGCCAGAGCTAAGGGAAACTTGTTTTCGTAAGTGGCGGTAGTTCCCTGTTGCTGGTCGAGGTGTCTTTGATCGAGAGACAAAACAAACGTACTTGACCCTTAATTTACACCCTATCATCAGCATACATATTCTCCATACTGTTCTCTATAGATTTCCTAAGGTGCTGACGAGGAGAATTTGTTTAACGAGCATCTTTAGTTGATGATCATTTCCTTAAGTCTCATGATTCAAGGGTGACAATGTAAGGAGACATTAAATGCTAGTCGCTCTTAGGGATCAAAAAGTTAACAAAATTCTGTGAGCCGTGCGTCTTCTGATACATTTACACTATTTCCTGGCCGGTTCTCCTGTGTAGATTATTAATAACCCATGGCTTACAACTATCTTCTTACAAAACGGACCTGGTATATGGACTTCTGATTCAAAACAGTTTTTAATTGTCTTTAGTCGACATAGCTAAAAAAATTGATATTCCTCACCACCCCTGAAGAGTTTTTATCTGAGGTCTCGTTTGTCTTCGTGTCCTCTGTATCTTTCTTAACACCTTCGTCGCTGTTTTCTTCTTCCTCTTCTACCTCTGTTGTCTTTTTCTGAAGTCGTTTTAACCTCTTCCGCTGTTCTTCCAAATTGTCAATCTCCTTCTTGAAATCAATTAATTGCTGTTTGCACGCGTCACGTGCCTCGTGAATTGGAGTGTACCATCTAAACATGTCATAAAACAAACAATAGAAAAATTCGTTTGCGTTTGATTATTTCATTCATGATTAGAAATGTCATTTCATAGTATAAGAAATTCACACCGGTGTTATGCAAATTTGCTTCAGGGCTGGGAACAACAAAACTCTTTCTTTACTCCTCAAAAATTGCTTGCAACTTTATTCTAACACACGTGCCATAGCTTTACCTTTGAGAAGGCAGAAGTTCATTCTCATATTTCTTAACATCTTCCTCACTTTCCTCGGTGACGTTATCAAGCACAGGCGTTGGGGTACGACTCGTCTTTCTCGTTGGTGACTTTATTCTGTTCGTTGCCATCTGACCACAGTCCGTTTTATCACTTGCTTTTTCACCGAGGGTCTCATTTGGTGACCAATCCTCAATGACTATAATCGGCGGCTGGCCTGTTTCCTCAGTCACTCCTGAAGATGGTGAACTCTTCCTTCGCTGACGAATATTACTCATCCATTTACTAGCAGCAAATGAAACATTCCATGGACTCAAAACTGGACTTCTAAGAGAAACAGATTCTTCATCTGACGAACTCTGGTCATAGTTGGGTGAATCATCCAAAACATCAAAAAGGCTTCTCTCAAATCTTCGATAACTTTTTGGAGAGAAACGGCGTCCCGGAATTCCTGTGTTTATGATTTCTTTTACAACCACATTCGGGTTTTGAACGGCTGGTTTTTCAATGGGAACAGAGGGCAAAACGTTTGGATTGTTCGTTCTTCTGCCCTCAACAACAGGCCCTTTCCCATTGTTATCTTCTTTGGATTCATACTTTACTTTCCTGTTTTTCTTGTCTCTTTTTCCCCCTTTGTGTTTCTTTTTTTCGTTTCCTGTCTTCCCTGAAGTACTACTATTCTTTGTAGTCTTTAGCTCAGCACAAAGGGATGTTTCATTCGCAGAGGAAAACAAAGAGCCTTTAGTATGCGGACGTACTACGACATTTCTTAGTTGTGTTCTCACACTCTTTGTTCTACGACCCAATGTTGGTGACCTTGACATACGATCTCTCGCCGGTGCACTTCTTGGTTTAGACATTTCTAACGTGGGCCTGTTAAAGTCTCCAAATGCTCTTTTGGCTGGAAAGTGAAAATTAGTTTTGCTTTCAGTGTCATTCGTGGAATTCCTTCTCAACAATAAAACGGCTTTAACAACTGCTGCAGCACTGCTTGTCAAGATAGCAGATGATCGTCGCCTTGACCGAGGAGGCACGAAAAGCTGCTCAGCTTTCTTTGGGGCTCCGGGTACTTCGTCGTCGTGATTTGGCTTTCTCAAATAATGCCTATAAACATAAATTGTGCGCGTAACGTTATTATTTTGGAGAGAATAATATCCAACTGACCTCACCAAAGCAAATCTTAAGTTTTCCCCCCATATAGTGGAGGACTCTTTCCCGTCAGAAAGCAAAGTCGAAGATGTAAATATAAACAGGAGAGCTTGGTCGTTTTCTATCCGCCTTGTTCCCGGAGCCTATCTTCTACATTTACAGTTACTTTGGAAGACTCAACAATAAGGTTGAGTCTTTACTTGAGCAAAGTGGCGCACAAGGCGGCGGAACTCATCCCGGTTGTCGTGGCATGAACCAACTAGGCCTAAGTCGAAGGGTGGATAACTGTATCCACTGGATAAATCTCTATCCGATAGATAGTGGAGTATGTTTTGTTAACATTTATCCGCTGGATAGCGATTTATCCGTTGGATAACGTTATCCAGCCTTTGAACAGTTAGACCCAGGTTACCCAGAGCATACCCATCTATCCACCTGGGCCCAGTTGTTCAAAGTGTGGATAACGCTATCCAGCGGATAAATCGCTATGCAGGGGATAAGTGTTAACAAAACATATTGTGCTACCCAACGGATAGAGATTTATCCAGTGGATAGCGTTATTCATCTTTCGAACAACCGGAGCCTGGTGTCTCACCCAAGAACACAACGGCCTGGGCCTGGCCAAGTCTTGAACCGGACTTCTTCCAAATTCTAGCGCGCTCACCGTTGAAATAACGGATTCGTTGAAAGGCATTCCTTATACTTTAAAACGGAAAACTGGCAAAAAATTCTAGTCATGGAAGACCCAATTGCGTGAATTTAAAATCACAATCACCTTTTAGCATCTCCATATTCCACAGCTCGAGAAAGAATTGGTGTCATCTCACTCCTGTCAATTGTGGCTTGATATTTTCCCGCCATTTCTAGCAGACTGGTGATTGTGCACCGCTTGAAGCTCTGCCAGATATCACTATCCCGGATGTAATGCATAATGTCGTCGTCATTGAAGAAACAGCGGCGATTTTGACGAAGCATTTGGATAATACTCTCGTTGGTCTTCAACGCCCACCTACGATGTCACAAAGGAGAGTGGTATGGGAAGTTCAATCAACAAACTGGTGGATTATGTGATGAGCTAGATTACAATTACAAAGTTGCTTTATTTTCGGGAGATAGTAAATTACAACAAATTATTTTGAACCAACTCTATGCTACTGATCGGAACGTTTAACTACGCCAGAAAACTCTTAACATGTATTTTCGACTGTCGACTGTTTTACATTTTTAGTTATTGTTTTGGGAATTAATTAACTGGGTATAGGTATATAAACAAAAAAACACTCGGAAACTTACTTGTTGACCAGGAAACAAGTGACATTACCAATGCTTACTACGCTGCAGAAACAAGGACTGGAATCCAGAATGGTGGATTCACCGAAAAATTCACCTAAAGGATTTTAACAACAGCGTTGAGTATCTGCTCTCATTGAAGCGTGCGAAAAATCACTTTTCGTTTGAGTATCGAAAGCAATTTTGCTTTACTTCAGGCTGTGATTAGTCCAATCAATCCGCGTCACTTTCTCAACCAATCAGACGCAAAACTGAAACTAATCACGACTTAGTTGTTCACGTTTTATCTTTCTTAAGGAGGTCTGATAATTTTACCTTGAGTTTTCTTGAGTTTTGAGTTTTTCAGGTTTCTACAGGTATTTCCCTTTCTTATGAATGACCTTTGTGATAATTTTACCTTGAGTTTTCATTGGCTCCTAAAGGTATTTCCTTTTTTATGAATGACCTTTGTGATTACTTTGATTTTGAATTTATGACATGGAATGGAATTGTGGAAATGGAAGTAGAAGCGACAACATACCCTTTTCTATTTGTCCAAGTTTGACTATTTCTCCACGATTAACTTCATCAATAAAGATACTCCTGTAGTACTGACATCTCCCTGTTTGAAACGAGAATATTCGTTATATTCCAACCAGACTCACTCGGCAGTCTCTTTTACTGAAGCAAATTATCAACACATTGACTTCAGTTCTAAACTGATTTCTATTTCGAAAAGAACAAATGGTATAATGGCATAATATCGCATGTAATTCAAGCATTGAACAAACGGTGGCCGTAAGACAACAAAGGACTCACCCAGTTACCTAGGTCCGCTACTTCTGATTCGTTGCATATAAAGTAACAGGATGATAATACTCGCATTGTGCGCGTTTGCTTTTCAATCAGGTTACCACTAGTCTGCAAATAGTACCAACCGACGCGCTATGGACGGGAAAAGTTAATGATATGGTGGAGAAAAAGAGAATGTATATATATTTCTCTTCATTCCTGCACAATACACTTGTGAGCGGCTTTTTTTTTAGTTAGGCAATTAGAAAGGCGATTTTATTTTGACCTCTATGAGTCGAGGGTGTTTCAAAGTAACAAATTTTCTATAGCCACCTTGCCCACAAACCATAAAAGCCATAAGTGATAGTCTCAGTGGCGACATTTAATCATCAAACCTTGGCCTACTACAATTTAGCTACATGGCCAATTTTCCCAAACGAAGCAATCTTTAACGAACTGTTGGAATGCCACTAACTACCTTGCAATCGGAGCGTAACGCATGTTCTGCTCAGTCTGTACACAGTTGGGCAGACGAATATGTCTCCTTGACGTGTTTTATTGATAAAAGAACCAAAATGGTATTACCTTTTGCAACAAAAAAGAGATGCTCTGGGAGATCCCCTTGGTTGACAATGACTTTTCCCGCGGAATATTCCTACAGGTCACCATGAAATGATAGATATATCAGTAATGTTTTATGCGCTGGTTAAAAAAATTTATTTATTTTGATTTCAAGTGATGTGCCCTAGACTTATTAAAATAAGCCTTGAAAGCTGATGCTGACTTTGAAAATTATAAGACTTTTATGGTCATTTCTTGTCGACAGGTTAGCACATGATTATGTTCTTATGTGACGTATATATTATAAAGGACATCACACGTAAAATGTTAACATGCAAATATTTATTTCCCATTAATTTTCATTCCGTCCTTAGATACTCAGTGGTTTCCCGAATCTATTTTGACTACGTAATGAGATAGCTTGGCAGCTAAAATTGAACATCGCTATAAGCCAAAAATTTACACAAGTGAATTCGAACGAAAAGAAAAATTGTGAAAACAAGAATTTAAAATCAAAATAAATATAGAAATATCCGAAATTCGTAAAATCATTACGTACCTGCCTTGCCATCAAACCAACTAATTTCCTCTTCTCCTCCGAAGGCAGAGCTTTCAAAGCGGCGACTTCCTCAATAAACATTTCAATTTCTTGAACATAGCGATTCTGAACTCGCTTAACGGAGCTGTGAAATCGGTCACGGTCGACTCGCAAGAATTCAGTGACTTCCACGCTTCGTATACTGTCTGGCGGAGGAAGATCAAACTCTCTTCCATCTCCCGACACAAGACCAAGATATTCACCAGCCACGTGCGTATAGGTTATCTCACAGTCATAAGACTTTTCAGCCGCCGCAGGATCACCAGATGAGCCGTTGTTAATATCATATTTAGCTTCCACTGATCCGCTCAAAATATAGTAACACGAAAGACAACTCTCTCCTTGTTGCTTACTAATTTCAACACCAGCCTCAATTTTTTGGTACGTAACAACATGGCAGAGTGCTTCCTTAATAAATTGAAGACCTTTGTGAATTTCTTTCAGCGCCGCGACAACTGGTTTTATGACATGTAGTTCCTCGGCCGATCGTCGAGCGGTGGAACGTCTCTGTAAGATTTCTAATGTATCGTCTGTAAGTACAATTCCAGCTTGTGCTTTGAAAAGTCTCTTGTTGAAAACGGGTGGTAGATTGAGAACTGAAATGTTCGGCCCTGATTCGCACAAAGTTGGCATTATGGATATTTTTTAAATGGCACTTTCGCAAAGAAGGAACAACGGGTAGCCTTCATTTCGCCCTTTCTTGATTATAACCTGCGAGCGTTCTTTTTCGTCTTAGATGTCACATTTATCGTTTCTCCTTAGCGTTCAACACTAAGGTTTTAAACTCCGATTCGTTTTGTTATGGCTTGACCATAAACAAACCACGTAGCCATGAAAGCGAAAAGTTATGTAAATTAACTTTTCCCTAACAGGTGTAACGCTCAGTAATGTTAATCATCATATTCTTGTCAATAAAATCAGTGAGCACTGCCTTCTCTTGTCAAAAAACTTTACTCAGCTTAATTGGCACAACCATTAGCAAGTTTACCGTTGATGTCAATGGTGGAAATGCCATCCTTTTGACAGTGAAAGAGATGCGACATATGAGAAATCTCCCTTCGCGGATGCAAATTAGAGCAGTCGAGTGTCCGAAAGGTGCGAAATTGGGATACTTATTTCGCAGATATGCTATTTTTGCACTTTGGCAATTTCAAAAGAGGTCATTGTAGACAATTCCATGATATGAAAATGACTTTGTATTTCCAAATAAATTATACAATTTGGATGATAAACACGTAAACTTTTTGTTTGGTTGTTCATAGAAGCGGTTAAGAAACTAAAGCAGTTTTAAAATTTACATCTTAAAAATAATTTTAAACGAGTTGTAGTTATTATTCTATTATTATTATTAGGAAGGGAAAAATTTACCAGTTTTTACTGAAGACTTATCTTTCAAACAGAAAAATCATCGGAAATTATTCATCAAATCCTCACTGCAAAGTGAAATTGTCGTATCAGTTATGTCACGCAATATTCTGTCACCCGGCCCTACTTCAAAAGTTGTACCAAATCTTATTGGTTATTATCCTTACTGTCTGCCATGCAATTCTTATGACGCTAATTCCGAGAATTTGGTATTGGATCAGCTGATAATGTACTAATTGATATTGTACTTAATTCTCATCAACTGCCTGCTTTATATTATAATTATAGCGGAGCTCGCATCTCGCGAAGCGCGTGCAGAGTAACCCCAAACACTTAGAAAATAATAGTAACCCATCAAGCCGAGAAAATTTGGCAAGGTATTACCGTACGTACAAGGTACTAATTTTAGCATGCGCAGGCAACTGAATTACAGGTTCAAATCTAGCCATCACGTAAGAGAAACAGAGAACGTATTGCGCATGCACGATTACGTGCGTAACTTGGAAATATCATTCGTGCGCGCCAGAGTGCGCCAAAAATGCCGGGTACAAAGTTCGGTACAGCGCACCGCAGGTACTTAGTTCACCATTGCACGCGGGGTCCACGTGGGCTTGTAAATGTGAAGCTGCACAAGCAAAGAATTTGTAATCCGCGTCTGGAGCGGGAACTCATTCCGACTAGGTTTTTGTTGAAAACATCAACAATAATGATATTGATTCTCAGTAGTTTGCAATTTCTAATTAACTTGCAAAGCAACAATACCCAGAGCTAAAGCTATGTCACCCGGAAGAAATCATTTTATTTCAAGTTTCTTGTGAAAGAGTTTGTGTAGGAATAGAATCAAAAAGAGAGAGAAAGAAGTAAAAGGTGCGAGCGAGTCGAGAAAATGCGAAAGAGAGAGAGAAAAACGTGACAAAGTAGGCAGAACACGGCAAAAGGAACGCCAAAGAGAACTTGAAGAGGCTAATGTCAAAAGGCGAATATCTATCGAAAAGCAACGTTAAAAAGAAATACAAAGAGCTCCAGACAACAGACTGAAAATAGCTGAACAACAAAGAGAAAGCAAACCGCAGAGAAAGGAGGAGTTAAGTTGAGTTTTATCTGAGTTTTCCCCTACGCTAAGGCCCAGAAAAATTCCAGATGTTTCATACTAGTTCCACGTTATAATTCATTGCTGTTTTGATGAAGGCAAAAAAATGAAATGACGGTTCGGTAAAATTATTTGGCATTCGTGGTTTACAAGCCTATAGAGCCGGTTCATCGCTCACGAACATTTCAGGTGTTTGTATTCACCCAGCCTGCGTTGCTGGCGGTCTGCGATTTTGGGAACGGAGAGAAAAATTTTTTTCTCCGCCCGCAAAATCGCAGAGCGCCAGCAACGCAGGCTAGTATTCACCAAATCATTTCTTTTCCTATCGTTTGGAATGTTTGATGAAGTCGTGGTGTTAAGAGAAAAGAAGTTATCTCACTAATTATTTTTTGGTTAGAATATTTCCAAATAACAGCGAACGGTGTAAGCAATTCATGAACCATTTATGTAACCTGATTGGATATTTTATTTTTAAGTTAATCGAGTTACACCAATCCAGTTAATCTAATTCAATTGATGATTAAGAACGATAAATCCATATACAGGGCGTGAAATTAATTTTTTATTCTGATAGCCACTTGGCTCCTAAATTCTTCAAAGCGGTAGCCAAGAGGAAAAAAGTTGGTCGCCATTTTCAAAGACAAACAAAACCCTTTTTTAAGCTGTCAGCGTTCCAGATGCACCCTCCAAAATTAAATTTGGGAAAAGATCTTTAACGTGCCACAAAGTGGACACTTGGATGGAAGATATACAACGTTAACGCTCACCTATCGAAGATGGCGTCTAGTTATCGATCAAGATTAATGTGTTGCGTTTTGGAAACAAACTTAACGAGGAAGTTTGCCGCGGATTTATCTTTGCAAATCTCCTGATATATGTACCCCAAAAGCACATTTAGAGTTGTGATAAGGAAGTTACTTCCTTGATAAGGAAGCAAATTCTTTAAACCCTCTCATAACTCTTATTGTAAACAATACAGGTAAATTTTACTTCAATCTCAAGCTGTTGACAAATTTGAAAACTTTGAGTGGATTGTTATCAACCCTGCAAAGAATGCTCAAAATAACCTGTTTGGAATTAATGAAAAGCAAAATGACAATCAGACCTGTTTGGCATGCTTCACTGATTCATTCTAGTTGTGTATACTTACCATTATAGAGGTGTCTTCAAAAAATGTTCAGTATAGCTGTTGTTCTTTGTTGATTGTTGTTGCCCAGAAAGCTACAAAAAGCACTGAACTTAAAATTTTGTGTACACAAGGCACTCTCCAAGGTGATAAATTGAATTTTGTTTACTATGCACTTGCACTTATTGCAATGATTTATTCAAGCAATACTCTACATGTATGAATCTAACAACATAATGTCTTTCATAACTGTTCACATTTTATTTGCTCTTTACATTTCTTAGCAACAATAGTTAAGATTTTTAGGAAAGCAAAGAAACAAAAGAATAGAAGACAGTGAAATTATAAACTTTATCATTTGAGAGAAAAAAGATCACAGAGTACTTAAGGGAAACTTTAATTGTGCTAGCTACTTTCCTCCATTGCCTTTTATGTTTTTGATCAGACATTTAATTAGTTGTAGGGTTTTCCCACAATGTGTCAAATTACCAGTGTGGACTTGACTTTTCTCAGATTTCAGCTTGTAAAAGACAGATACAAAAACTAGATAGCTGCAAGAAAAAGTAAAAAACATAAAAAAAAATCACCCTGAAGTGGCTATTGGTGTGTGATATATAGAATAAATATGTGAGATGTGAGATTGGTGTGTGATATATAGAATGAAAGTAGCTGTAAAAACACATTGAAGTTTTTCCTACTCAACTGCAAGTTAGTTAGATTTTGGGTTCTACAATTATTCTGGGTAAGATTAAATTTATTAATATCTTGTGTTTTGTTTTGAAGCTTTCAATTAAGCAAGGTGTTCTTACAAAGGCTGATGCCCAAACTAAATATTGATATAAGGAGTAAGTCACCAGATATGTGAGTTTTAAAAAGTGGAAAAGCAAGGATCCTCCTTTAATTAGGACTTGAATTAATGGGAATCTTCCTCCTTTAATTCATGTTTTACTTTGACCTGCCTCCTTCCATCTACTGTTTAGCCTCTAGGCACATAGATGAAGGGTACCTTTTGCATATTTTGATGCATGAAGTTTTAATTGGCATCCATGTAATGCACAAGGCAAGATTATAGGTGCCCTGGCTTTTTAAGTTAAAAGTTATTTAAGAGAGCTGTGCAGACCATTTCCACTTATTATCCTCCACAAATAGCATAATCATCACCAGTCTCATTCTTTCTCACTGTTCACTGATAACCTCTGTACTTTTTTAAATGAAGAAAGGAATACTGGTACTTGCCTTCTTACCACCTAAAGAGTTATTGACTCCATGCCCTTAAAATAATTGATGACTGGTTAGGGGGGAAGGCTACTTCCCCAACATGCTGTTAAATGAAATTTGCATTAAGTTTTCACAAAGCAGTCCATTGGGAAATTAGCAGTAGATAGTTCTGTTGTACATGAGCAAATTGCTACTATTAAAGCACTCTCTAAAGATTAAAATTTAATAGCAGACCCAGAGCTGTTGTTAACTACCAATTCTCAGTCATTTTTTTTGTTAATTGTACCTGACTGACCCAAATTGAATAAATGGCAACTTGATATTTATTTGTTCTCCTCTCTTGAGATGTGTATCAAATTTTTGAGGTCATGGCATGCTTAAAATATAGGAAATCTGCATTTGTCTTGTGTTTTCAACATTAAAGCTGCAATTGTGACTACTTTGAATGTCTTTACTATGTACATAATGGTACACATAGGTGTTGCAAAAAATTTTCCCTTGCTTTTTCATTAGACAGCACAAAAATGTTTCTAAGAATCTTGTTTATCTGTTCTAGGGTAAATCCTAACTTTTCAACCAAATTTTATATTCTTTTAAATATTCCAAGATCTCCTAATATCAGTTATGTCTTTTTAAGACTTTTATATAGTTATATGTACATGAAATCTAGCAGATGTATGACACATGAATTTCTCTCCTGACCTATTCCCCACATTTTATAATGAGTAGGGATTTGTATTGGCTCAAAAAAGTATAGTCAAATTAAAGTTTTGTGCACAGCCTATGCATCAAATTTATGTCATAAAATATTGTATCCATCCTGAAACTAGCTTATAAGAATATTATAAGAATAAGTATGAATTACCTAGCCCAAGTATGACAACTCTACCTTCAAGGAAATTCATTTATTTGCTATTGTGAGAGGCTACCGTCAATAACTTTACAACCTCTTTAAAACTAAAGAGAAAATTTGATTAATGTTTGGCATCAATTTCTGTAATGTAAATTGAATGCTAGTATTTTTCCAAGGTTCCTCCAAATATCTTCATAATTGAAACCTATTCTTCTCTCTTCATTATTAAGTTTGAAATATGATATTCTAGTTCTACCTTGTCTTCATTTAAATCAAACTTTCGCAGCGCAAGAAATAGATGGTGGACAAATTTCGTATTTCAGTCGCTAGAGTTGCCAGGATCATGGACAGTTTGTTTAAAGACACTGACATATGCAGTTACAGCAGAGGTTACCGAATTAAATAACAGAAAGGTCTGAAAAGGAAGTCGCGTATTTCCAGCCAGAGGAGTCGAAAGAGGAGAAGTTAAAAATATCAGGTTCAAACATGAGTTAAAAGTGACTTTTCTTTTTAATTTTCTACGCTTATCAGAGAAGGTTTACACGTAAGGAAAAATTGGTGGAGGGGGCAGTCATACCTGAAGACATCGAGAGAAGATGCAAGAAAAGCCCATACGTTTCTGGCGTAATGTTTCACCGACTTAATCGTCTCACGAGGTACACCCTTCAAGGTCCTTCAATTGAACTGTGATACCGTAACTCGAGGTCGTTTGCCGTCGTTTCTTTCAATTTTGGCTCATTTTCCAATCTGAAATTATCAGTCACGCTTTAAAGAATATAATTTGAACCGAGACTGATACTCACAGTGTCATACATCTGTATGACATCTTACAGTAAATCTGAAGAAGAAAAAATTTGCTATCCTCGAAAATCTGTAAATATATAAACGAACGTCATTAGCTGCTGAAAATACCGCTGACTAGCTGGCGTGTTGATCGCCTTGAAAGTTATGAAGTTGTGAACATCATCTTAGCCAATCTGACCGCTTGGGAGATTTTTATACTAGTCCTTCTATGCATTCTAGTTTTTCTATCCATTTGCTAGAGTAAACTTTCCAATCAGTTATCACAAGCTATTTTTGTTTGGATTCAATTATTGAGTCAATCTCTTTCCCCTGATCTTCCAGCTTGCGAAGTAGTTTTTAGAACTATGCGGGAGTCACGCCAAGCCATAGGACGATATGGAACGACAAGAAAATAATGGCATGGGTGAGGAGAGATGGAGAGAAAGCTGAGTTCCAAGCCACAGCAAGGCTGAGCTCCAAGCCCCGTTGAGGTCATATCTTTAGCGGAGTTACATATCAACCAACAATAGAAGTCCCGATTACAAAAGTATCGAATAATAACAATTGCTCCCACCAGGATTCGACCAAGAGTTTAGCTGACAGAGCTGTATTTTCCCATGTGGAAAGACAGCTCCACACAGGCCGTATCAGCGGTACCTTCGAAGGCTTTTTCCGCCGATTGAATTCACCGCTGAAAGGGATGGCGCAATACTTCTTAATCCCAATTAATGCATTTCTATCAGAAAAAACTTTCAATCAGAAAAATTCTACATCCATCACCTGTTTTGACTTTGGGTTTAGCAAGAATCCAACGAAGTCTGCGCGGGTATTGTGATACCCACTATCTTTCACTTATGTGACTGTGGCACGTGTATGGTTTAAAATAACCTGAGAGCTTTCAATTTAAAATTAATTATACAAACCATAAAGAGTTTGGTTTCGCTAATTTAAAGCGCTTTTCCCGTATGAGTTGAAATCAGCAGGTACTTGCAGATGAACCGGTGACTTATTGAACAGGGAAATCACAGGAATCTTTGAACCAGTCGCTTTTATTTGCTTTTACTCCATGTTCCGTGTGACAGAGAACTGAAACAAAGAGCGTGTATTTGGATGAAATCCGACCCCGGATAATCTCGCCGCCAGCAATGACATTTCCTGTCTTTGCTGTTTAGGAGGAACAAAATAATGAGGTTTCAGCGCTTCTTGTTTTTTAGTTTTCTTGGTTTAAGCTTTATGTGCTTTATCGCCACATTACTGCTTCCAAAAATCAAGGAAAGGAATCTGATCCACTTTCCGTCCAAGACGTTCTCAAGGTACGCAGAATTTCTTCGCGCAAAACTCAATCCGTCCACGTCCACTGAGTGAGTAACTCCCTCCTTATTTCATATATTAACGACATTTAGGTTTTAAACACCGATTTGGTGAAAGGAATACGAAGACAATGATACCACAATAAGAATAGGAGAGTAAAAACAAGTCACTGTAGTAAAAGATTGTAAATAATACGCGTCGTATTTCTGACGACATATGCGCAGCGAATTCCTATAGACATGGTATGCTTCGTATCAGCAAATGCCTTCCTTTAATTGATTTTCGCTAATTTAGTTTGCTTCGTTCAATGTTGCGAATTTCCCTAGTCCTATCAGTCATATTACTTGTCACGGTTCTGCAGTAGAGCTTCAGGTCGTTCAGCTGCTTAAAACCGAAAGACATTTTGAGGGTCACATATGATCAGTTCGATTTCATATGATTGTAAACCTGCTTCAACCTAATGGCTGCTCGCTTCAAAGTGAATGCATCGGGAAACAAAAAGGCGGTGCAAAGAGATCAGGTACTAATGAATCGAAAATTTCCCTGCCTTATCGCTTATTGTGTGCGTAACAGACGGTCTGTCGATTGTGACCAGACTGAGCAGAGTGTGGCTGCCATGTTTTAATCTAGGTAACTTTGATTGACAATTCGCCTACAAAGTTCCGAATTTATTGTCCAGCTGTCACGTCATATATTGCCTTCCTTTAAACATTCCAATTAACCGCTGGATACCTTGGAACGATGGTGATACTGATCATAACTTTGGATATCGGTGATTTGATTGTGTCTCAACGTTCTGTTACTTTCACTGGTTGGTCACGTTGTGAAAATCACGAGTTCTTTCTGCCATCTTTGATCGTTCGGGAACTTGTTCCCATTCCCCTTCCCTGGGTAGATTTCTCCACGCACGGTACTTCATTTATCCGATTAAGGGAAGGTCTGTCTTTAAGCCTGATAGTCTGTTGAGCAGGAGGGAATATATACGCATCCTAAAGAAATAACGAGGGATATAAAACGAAGAAATAAATTTGTGCACTCATTTCGCACTTCTCGAGAGCGAGGAAAGAAAACTTAGAGAGTCAGTGGGATTTCTGGATGAGGTTTTCGAAATTTGAAGTTTGAAATTTTTTAGACTTTTTCGGTCAGCCTAACTGATACTTTATTATCATAAGCAAAGCATAAATAACGGCTGTGAATCCGGCTGTGAACCACCTCATCAGCCTACGGCAAGAGTTTGCTTTTACTTAGTATGGAAGGTTAACCCTTAACTCCATAACATCAGTATGCATATTCTCCATACTACTGACTCCCTGGACACTTCCTAGGGTTCTGACAAGGAGAATTTGTTCTACAATAAAGAGCTTCCTAAGTTGGTGATCATCTCCTTTATTCTCATGACCTTAATGTTTGATTCAAGGGTGATGTTGTTAGGAGAAATTAGATGTTAGTCACTCTTAGGGGTTAAAGGGTTCATGGTTTGAATTCCTTCTCTCAGTGAGTATCTTGTAACAAACGAATTTGTCACAAGATAAAACCCTTAAACCCTTAGATTGACCAGTATCTAACTTCTCCTTACAGAATTAATTCTGAACATTCATTAGGATCATCAGAACAAGGTAATGATCACCAACCTGAGAAGCTTAGATTGTTTAAACAAATTCTCCTTGTCAGTATCAAAGTGTAGAGAAGAGTCAGGAGAATATAGATATTGATGTTAGAGTGCAAAGGTTTAAGTAGAGACTGGAATTTATCATTCATGCCAAACTTTTGATTTTGCAGAAACCGTTACGTGCAAGCAGCAAGCGACGACTTAAGCCAATCGTCTTCTTCAACGGAACCTCAGGAGGATGACGCTGAATCAAAGAGTGTTAGGGCTGTTGATCGCGAAATAGAAGAATTACTGAAAAGTGCAAACGGACAATCTAAAGAATTGGCTGTAGAAGAGGAGGATGATATCCAAGAAACGTCTACAGAAGAAAGCCTCGTGAAATACGACGAATTAAGGTAGATATCTGTCAGTGAGACACCTCGCAAAGGAGTAGTAAGAAAGACAAGGAACCATGCTAAAATGCACACAAAACCCTCATTGTTTACAGAAAAAAGCACTAAAATGAGATAAAAGTTCCCTCGAGTTAGTCTCTTACTCCTTGAAGATTCTACCTAAGCTCTTTCTTCAATCTTTTGTTCATAGTATCCTTTTATTAAATTCTTATCTTTGGAAAAGCTCAGTGCTATTTATCGAGGTCAAAGACAGTGATTATGAGGTGTTGCTGTTTGTCTAATTATGAATTCACTTGCGATGTAGATCATGTCCTACCTTCAGTATGTCAGAGATTATTCAACGTTAATTGAGTTCCGGTTTATTTTTTGCGATAAGGTGACAGATGATTTAACAATAGGATCATATTATATATATATTGTGGGAGGAAAAAGACAATTTGATTTGATTTGTCTTTTTCCTCCCACAATATATACATCGCTCTACTCCTATGTATTGAGCACTGTCTTACGTAAGTCAAAATTACTTTATATATATATATAATGAGAGAGACCAGAGCATGAGACCTGAACAGTGTGAGGAAGATCAAGTTGATTTTAAAAAATAAAACGTGTAGTTTCGGAACATAGCAGACTTGTTAGTCTCATTTCCGACAAGTATCAGTTTGTTGAGGTAGTGAAGTCCATTGTAAAATTCCGTCGTTCTCCCAACAGCTGCACGCCTCACAAAAGTATTGCCTTCCTCAAAACCCATAAAACCGGAAGCAGCACTCTCACAAATATCCTAAATCGTTATGCAGACCTCAGAGAACTAAGCATAGCACTTCCAAGGGAACATCTGTACCGCTTTGGTTGGCCAGGTTACTTCAATTGGAGGAATGTGGACATGTTTCGATTGAACGGACAACCAGCTCATATCCTATGTAACCACGCTCGATACAATAGACCTGCAATGGATATTGTAATGCGCAGCGACACTAAGTATATTACGATTTTGCGTGACCCGGTTAATCAGTTTGAGTCTACATTCAACTACATGGAACTGTATCGTGATTTTAATTTGCCGAAGTTTCCAAATCCAATGGAAGTTTTTCTGAAAAATCCTTATGGACACCTTCAAAACTTAACAAAAAGGGTGAAATCCCTTCCTGAATCAATCAATTTGGTGAGAAATGGAATGTTCTTTGATTTAGGTTTCTCGTCATTGATGGGCAGCAGGAAAGACAGTGAACTTCGCAACGCTATCGCAAATATTGAGAAGGAATTTTCACTGGTTCTTATCATGGAATATTTCGACGAGAGTCTAGTTCTTCTTAAGCGTGAATTCTGCTGGGATTTAGACGATGTTATTTACATCAAACAGAATCAACGAAAGTACGGTAATAATACGTCGCATAACTTTATTTCTGCGCAACTCAGGCGCAGGATAAGGAACTGGAACCGAGCCGATGTGTTACTTTACGAACACTTCAACAAGACTTTCTGGGAGAAAATCAAACGGCACGGGAGGGGATTTTACGAAGACCTTACAGAACTGAAGCGCAAAAATTTGGAGATGTATCGTGACTGTGTTTCCCCTGAGGAAGTGACAGAAACCGCGTTTCGACTGAGTGGAAAAATACGAGGTTTTAAGCTAAACAATGGCGTTTCACGTTTCAACAGATACCTATGTGAAAAGCTGCTTACAAACGAAATAGACTACATTAATTATTTCCGCCGGAAGCTGAATCCTCACTCAGAGTATCAGAAGCAACTAAGAGCTGCAGGAAAAGCACCTCATACATCGGCTGAAAACACCATAAGTCAAAGAATTCGTGCGTTTCAAAGCGAACAGTTGCAAATTAAAGCGGGAAATCCTGTTCCAAAGGCGAGGCCGTAGCAACCGCATAGAACTTCGTCTAAAGGCATTAGTGGATGATCTCAGGGAAAGGAAAGTTTTCGTTGTCTATCAAGATAGAGCGTTACTGGCCGCACGTGAACCAAGTAAACTCATCATAATCACAAGGTGTTTGTATACAAGTGATGGATCCAAAATATGTCTAATTGGCACCTGTGGCCATGCAATTGAACCGCACATGTGCGTAAACACGCTCTTACCGTAATGGAAAAGAGACAAAAGCTGCGTTGCTGGTGGTTTGTGTAACGCTCGATCAAAATATATGCAGCGCAGCAGCGAAATCAAGCAGGTTTCTCCCATTTATTCGGTTCAAGGCTTTCTTTCCTTGGTCTCATTCCTACGCTAGGATTTAGACGAATACCCTTTCGTTTAGGCCGTTTGCGCACATAAAGGTTTTTATGTTAATGTGAATTCCAAACCATAACGTATAAATTTGTAAAGGATGAAACATTTGTCTATCAATAACGAAGGGCCGAGCCCGAAAAGGTTAGAAAACCATAATCTCAATACTGCTCTTTTTGTTCATGTTTCATGTTAGCTGAACTTCACTGCAAATGAGGGGGCATGTTCGGCGCGCTTGAGTCGATTCGAACATGAAGAGCAATCATTCTCCTTTGTAGACAAGTTTGACTTTTTTTTTAAATATTTCCTGGCAGGATTTTTAGCTTTAAAGCAGGCGATCACAATATCGCACAATATCGCACGAAGTTCCTCTTCAAGCTACGAACGCTGAACCGCTGTTGTCAACGTTCATTTTTAGGGACCATTTCTTATTTATCACCTGGGTGTGGAGAGATCGGAGGACTTTGGTCATGTTACAACAAAATTACCCGATTCCCCATAAGGCTCTGTACTACTCTTACGACCCCCACCCCCACCCCCCCACTCCCAATTGGCAGTTAATTGGCAGTCAATTTTCTATGGTACCTTCTCTTCCTTCCTTCTGTTGGCCACGACTAACCCCTTATCTGTTCTTGCTGAAAACCCTGTACATACTGTAGACATGTTTTGTAAACAAAGAAGACTGTTATTGCTCTAACTTTGAAAATAAAATGACTGGAAGCATTTTGAACGCTGAATTTCATTTACCTTTAACAGCTGTGCACCGTGGAATTACGTAGTCACCATCGCCAGGAAACACGCGTCGATATACGTAGTTGTACCGTGACATAATTTTTTTGGCTGAATATTATACTCTCATTATTGAAAATATTTGGGGAAGAGTATTTTATTTCTTTGGGGAGTTTTGTCCGTCTAAAACCTTTAATATTCGGTTCCGTTTTGCAGATATTGTCAAGTTGCATTCGACGACATCATATTGTATGTAAATAAGTCAAACTGACTCTTGACAGATGCGAATTCAATTTTAGATTTCTGCCTGAATACAAGCGCTACGTACTTCAATTTGTGGGCGGTAGGCAAGTTTCAACACAAGGTAATTTGGTATTATCAACTGAGTTGATAACGTAAACTGGCCGGCACCGTTAAGAGTTTCAAAGCTGACGTTTCGAGCGTTAGCTGTTCGTCAGGGCTAACGCTCAAAACATGAGCTTTAAAACTCTTTACAGTGCCCAATTAACGTTATCAACTCAGTTGATAATAACAAATTACCTTGTTATACTCTCTTACTGACGCAGCACCACAGTTTCTTTAGAAACTTACCCCTTTATTCAAGTTCCAACACAAGTTTGCTTTTGTGCGAAATTTCGTTAAATTTGATCCCAAACTCGGCTCAGGTTTGAGGACACACTTTTTAAAATGTATCTTTAAATGTACCTAAAAGTAACTGACCGTGTGTAAGCTTGTTTTGGGCCTTTGCAAACACCAAACTTACAGCAAACTAACAAGGGGGTTTTTCCGAAGGACACGCGACCTCACGCATCACACCTTATGTGTGAACCAATCAGATACGTCGTAGGCAATTGGTTGACAGCGCATTTGATATGGCCGAGTGGTTCAGTACACGCATCTCTGGTGATAGCGAAAAAATACTAGCATCTGCAGTAACTATTTATCTTTCAGCCGCGTGGCAGATTCCTGGCCTGCAATCCTTATTTCTAGTTCGGGAAATTCCATGACTCTTTTCATTTACAATGTCTTCCATGGAAACTACAAGATTCTGACTGCGTCTTCACTCGGCCATCTATCTGCACAATTTCTGTGTTGCCCTAAATGTTTTGACAAAAAGTTTTAATTCCAAAAAACTGTCAACTAATTTTAAATTCGAAGCCTTTTTATTATCTTTTATTAAGGAAATGCGACTAAATTTAAACTTCTGTACACAGCTGAAAATTTAAACAAAAGACATCGGTCCTCCCACGCACCAACCTCGCCAAACACAAGTTACATAATTTTGACGCCTTTGGAGAAGTTAGCAAATGGCAATTATTGAATCTCTACCCACTTGCTATCGGCCGTTGTTATCGTAAAGTTGAACAAAACTTTGTTTGGAATTTTTCAACAACATTGCATTGGTCATATGTAGGTCATAAGGCAGACAGAAACCTTTTTGTTGGTGTGTGTGTGTTTGTGGGGCCGAAGGTGGGCTAGGTGGGCATAATTAGGCATTAAATGTTGCTCTAGTAGCAAAATATTAGTAACCCTCATGTTTCACGATCATTTGCACAATTGTGAAATATTCCTTGCCCGTTTCTTGATACCTTTTGTTTTAAACAAAGCGGCCATTGCATTTGGTTTTTAACAAAGCGGCCACAATCGTTCTTAATAGGATTTCAAGCCTCCATATAATCTGATTTTCACATATTAATATTTGCGTAGTCACCAAACCGATGAGAGATAAAACCACCAGAGAAGTAAACAAATGGCTAGTCACGAAAGCAACGCTTCGCTTTCCCTATAAAAATTCGCTGGTTCCTCGTGTAAGTCAGTAACAATACAAGGCACATATGTGAAAATCAGTGTATGTACACTCCTGAACGTTGAAAATGTATCAAGTCGAAGGAACAGTTTTGGTCTCGGTTCGCATTTTTGTCAGCAAAATAAACTCATATCGGTTAAAAAGATAAAACGTATGGACCAAGTGCAAAGCTGTCAATTGTTTCTCGAATATTGCGCGTGTTAAATATTCGATAGTGGCATCTCATTTACATCTACATCTACCGTGATCTACATCTACATCTACCGTGATCTACATCTACTTTTATTAAGTTGGTAAATTCTGTCCAGACATCACACCAACCAACTCGCGCGCAAAGTGAGAATACTATATGAAGGCTTGAAATTATATTAAGCACGATTGTGATCGAGAAACGGGCGAGGAATATTCCACATAAATGAAAATGATCGTGAAAGATAATCGCGGAAAATAGGCCATTTTACAATTGTGTGCTTAGTTGCCAAGCCTTTGATGTGGAGTGAGGCTGAAAGTGACCTTGTTGTGATAGAGACCAGTATCTAGTTTGCAGGATAACAAAGTAATTTGCATTTGAAAAACAGCAAAGTTTGTATCATAACAAGGTCACCCTTAGCCTCATTCCTGTTCAAAGGCTTGGCAACCAAGCACACAACTGTAAAACGGACTATTGACTGCGTGACGCTCGGTAAGTTGTAAGATGACATGTTATCACATATCAGACGAAAAGACAGTATAAATTCTCAGTCTGCATTGTATTCTTTACCCGGTCTGCGATCTGTATTTTGTACCTGGTGTACATTTTGTACTCTGTCTGCAGTCTGCAGTCTTCATTTTGTACTGACCGCATTGGTATTGTTATTTTTGTTCGAGCGAACCTTGGCCGCTATGATTGATGTGTAGACTGTACGTTGAGGAGCTCCCGAAGACAAGCACAATGATAGAGCTATGATTACTTTATATCAACTGAAGACGAACCCAAATACGCGGCTTAACAATACGGCTGCCTCTGATACCCTTCTGCGTGGTCACAGCGTGTGTTGAAATGAACCCACTACGGGTCCCCTAGGTGTGAACATTTCGGCTTCTCAATTCAAGTTGTATTTTTATAAGCTCGGAAATGTGATTTGAGGTTATTATTTTTATCAAACCATACAAACATTTTATTTCTTTCCACGTGCAGTGAGTTCCTGAGCTTCATCGAAATTAATTTTGACTTTTTATTAAATGGGAAGGGGTAGGATGCGAGACTTCTTCCGTTCACGGTCCACAATGCAACTTCCGGCTACGGAGTACAATTTCCGTCCACGGTCGACAACTTCCGTCAACATCTACTTCACCACAATACCTCATTCATTGCTTTCAGCATGAATGAGCTAAAAACTCGGTTTTTTTCAAGCCTCTTATTTTGTCTTAAGAAAAGTGTCCCCTGGACTGGTAACGAATTAGCGGGTGATGACGTAGAAAAATGTGAAAACTCTCAGTTGACACTTACAAACCTCTCACATCTCTTGTAATTTTGTATCAGTCTGCGTTGAAATACCTTGAAATGATGTCTGATAGCGATGTCCATCTACCGTCAGTAAGCTCTAGCGAGAGTCGTGATACATCGTACTCAAGAAGTAGGGAAGAAATCTACAAGAAGTTGCAAGTACGGTTTAGCTCTACGAAGGAGATTTCCACAAAGAGTGACAAAAGCGGTTTCTCGCCCGCGGTGTTCAGGTCAAGATTAAAACAAAAAGACTCCCGTTACTAAATGTTTAGTTTGTTACGTTTGTGTTTTGTTCTCTATGGCGAAATTTATGTCAAGAATGGGTAGCTGTGTTCGTTTCTGTTGCCATAACATTTTATTCCTTCGCACCAAGTGCGGCGAAGGTTCCCCTTAGTCAATGCTCTAGAGTTTCGTTGCTATACAGTTATTCCCTTAGCAAACCAAAAGCTAAATTTTGACGATAGAATCAGCTGTTTCACTAGGCACGATGATTTTTCGCCGAGAAGTCATCGGGCAGTTTCACTGCAAGTTGCTCCTTTCCTCAGAGATTGCAAAGGCAGAGGCTATCGTCGTCGAGCCGGTTTAAGTTTATCATTGTCATACGGCCTATTTCGCTCAATGGCAAATAACTGACATCAGTATTGTAAGCGAATATTTCGTACGCATCGACTTTCACACAGCACTACCATGCTACCATCTAATTCATTTGCTTCTTTATTTATCTCGTTGCAGTGCTGTTATCACAATGACATTTTTACTGTTGCTACTTTTAGTTTCTTGAGGGCAGCGGAGAATTGATGGCACGTGGGATGGATTTTCGGAAACCAAGGTTAGCAGAATACACGGCCCCTTCGAGCTTGTATTTATGCCGGTATCCGCCAGATGTTTCGCACTGTTCACAAAAAAAATAAAAAAAATAAATAAAAATACGATGGAAACTACCATTGGTAGGATTTTCATGCGATAGGAAAAGTGCAAATGTAGTCATGTGGAAAGACAAGGAGTATGAGTACATCTCAAGCGCGTAAAGTAAACAACAATAAGGAACTCACCATTCTCCGCTTGCGTAATGTCAGCCGAAAAGAATGTTGAGCAATCGCGTACGGTGTGGGAACAGGCCCCTTAATCAGCATTCTTTTTAGCTCAATTCATTAGTTCTCTCCCCTGATTTGACTAGTGGTATGTGTTCGTAACAGCCGTCTTCGAACCCGGTACGGAGCATGAGGCCGACGACCAGTTAAAGAGTAAAATCTCCTCGATGTAGACAATCGAAACGAGTCCATTTTGGCCATACAGCTACATCTTTTGGAAAAGAGTGTATAGAAACATCCAGTGTATGTGTACTATTCTTGAAGCTAACATCATTTGGCGCTCCGGCAACGTAATACGTTCGTCCTTTCTTGTAGATTTCTCATTTCTCCACCGGCATAGTTGCCGACGTGTGTTCACAGTTTTCAATGTCACAGTTACGTAACATGATCGTTTTGGCCGCAAATCGTAGTTTCAATGCACAAAAAAAATGGTCGAGGAGAACTCGCTGGCTAGGCGCTAAGGTCCGTTATTTCTAATTTTGAATACAACTATCAACAAGAATATGCAAAAGAAATTTCGTGACATAACGGGATGCATATTCAAAGTGTACATGGCAAAAAATGTGCGAAAGGTTTTTCTTTCCTTTCTGAATGACCAAAAAAGAGGCTTAAGCTGGGAAAGGTTTCAAAGGACAAAATTCTTGCAAACTTGTGATTTCATCTTTTAGGAAAATAGTGCACGGAATAGCGTTGAACTAGGATGTCCCAGGGCGACATCAACACAACTGAGAAATGTCGTAAAGTTTTCTCAGACCCTTCGAACACTACCCTTCAACTAGTTCCATTTAATGTTCAAGGTCATGATCAAAGCCGTATATTTTAATGTTTGAAATAATGTATCAGTGATGAAAAGGCTATCGTACCTCGAACCTGCAAAATTTAAAAGATTCTTCTGAAATCCCATACGAATTTCCGGTAAAATGATCGATCCTCTGCAAATTTGAAATGATAAAATGTATGGTACAGTAGACACCCCGGTATACAGCGAGGTGCCAAATAACGAAAATTTGGGTTTTTTTTTACCATTTTCCTGTTGTTAGCTGATGAATATAGTTCGTTAATGCAAGATGTTCGACAGATAGAGAGTCGCCATCTTGATCCTTGGCTGCACTGATGGTCTTGATGAACAGCAGGATCACACCAAACAGCAAACCTCTGTTGAGACGAAATCCTTCTCAGTCAATTCATCAAACTGGTAACGTTTTTCAATACTTAATTTATTTTTATTTAAAGCAATAAAGCTGTAACATTTCCCCAAGCGCCAAACACTTGTCTTACGACACAGGAGTTCCGGTATCTTGTAACAAATTGATACCAAAGGGGAAAGACCTACAAAAATCGAGTAACTGATTTATTAATCGTCTGTTTCCATGTCTTTAATTATATTTTGAAATGTCTACTCAAAGGGCTCGTCAAAAAATTCATTGTAAACGCCGTAAATTATGAATTAATTATCTTTTAAAATATTCCATTAAAATATTCCATTAAAATAACCATTCTGGTTTATTGTGTTACCTCTCACATTATCATGATCTGAGTTCCGTTCAAACAGTTAACTGATTCAGGAAATTTTGCCGACTAATCTTACAATGCAAGTTTCATCAAAGACAAAATTTGTTTAAATGCGACATCATGAAGGAATCACTCTTAATTTCGCAATCATTGCCCTTGGAATTCCCAAACTTAATTGGCGGAATTCAACTGATTTTTTGTTTATAAATTTCGAGCCCGATTTAGGAGTTTTTATTTACACCTAGAGTAACTTACTTCCCTCATTTTGTGAGATAACTTTCGGGTGCCTCATTTTAATTCCAATTTTAAAACGCTGGGTTATTTGTGTCGCTAACTTCCTTAAAGCGCTCACAAAATGTCCATCGAATTTCTTCATTATGTCGTCATGGAAACCTTTAAAATGCTAATGTATTTAACCTTTGTGCCAACCGAAGGAAATATCCCAACAGTTCGAACCTTTCATGTACCCGCTCGTTTACGCTGAGAAGTTATTTCCACATCTTATTGTATTTTGCGTGAAAGAAGAGCTGTTCCTTAATCGGACATCAAAAGGAAATTATTTTCACAGCCATCTATCGACGACCTTAAATACAACGTAGGTCAAACATTCGCAAAAATTGGTTTTAAACGAGCAAGAGTCCTTTTGACTTTACGATAGTGAGGTGACAAGGTACTTTGAATCTCTGAATAATTTCGCAGTCATTCAGCGGGAGAATATTCGCGCGAAAGCTGATTAAGAAGTGAGGATGCTGCCTGAAGAGAAAGTGTTGTATCCATTTATCGGCGATTCGCTCGGACCATGAGGATTTTAACAGCAATATAGAGAGCAGATGGGTACTGGTTGTTCGAAATCGGTTGTTGTTATTTCCAACACGAGCTGGAACCCCCACAACGCGCGACCCAGCCAAAGTTCTGCATCGCATACATCATCGACAAAATGCTCAGGATCCACCATAAAAACTCTTGCGGAAGCCGCAATGTAAGTATCTTTATCTTATGAAAGACTGAAATACAATTACGCCAACTGCTTTCAGGTCGCTTTCAAAAGAAAAATGTCGGTACTGTGAGAAGTTTTGACCAAGGAGCAACTGATTTTCCCGACGATGTGGACCATAAACAAACGCATCAGTTCCCTATAAGTTGGCAATCGCTTCTTTCCTGGAGTACCGAATTCATTTATCTCTTTCTTTCGGCGACAAATGCGATTATATCCGCAAATTCCTAGTTCAAGCAAGAACGAAGAAAAGTCTAAAAATCAATTTTTTAGAACATTCGAACGGTTGTTATGAAAAACAAAACCATAATCTCGAATATGACTGAGTCAGTCGGAGAATTATAGCTGTTACTCAATATAAATTGTTTTTAGTGAGAAATGAAGCAGATGCTGATTACGAAAAGGAAAACCTCCACAGGCAAAGGAGCAAAGCAGACAGATAAACCAGCTAATCGATATGAACTAAAATTACCGACGAAAAATTAAAATAACGTAACTTTGCTTCGCGTTAAATCTTCACCTGCTAAACGCATTGTTAAGAAATAACCTATTTCTCTATTGCAATCTCGTTTCCTCTCTTCCACGCTAATCATGCCTTTTTTTCACTTCTGTAACGACTTCACCGAGTTCTTTAGTCCAAGAGTTTAATAATAAATTTTGAAAGCATAGATAAAGAACTTTGAGAACAGCTATACGTATTTTCAGTTTTCAATTGACACTTCAGTTCTTCATCAGGCCATTCATATGCGCATAATTTTCGGCGTTTCCTAGACGCTTGGATGGAAATGCACATGTCTGACGAATTGGCTCAAAAAAATTCTGTTCAACTGTAATTTTACGCTTGGGGATAACAATGAACCGATGTTCTAACCTATGAACGCGGCTATAATCTAATAACTAAGGGCTGCAAGACCATAAATCTGCGAAAGAAATTATTTTTATGAAGATAGAAAGCTTTTGTCTCCCTGTACCGCTCACGAAACACGAAAGCAGGTGTGTAAACAAAATAGGGTTGAAATTCATTCAGTGCAGCCGCCAGACTATTGTTCTTTCGAGTCAGCATTTGCTTCGTGTTGACACTTCTTCGTCGCCACAACGAGCCAAAAAAATTACATAAAGAGCGAAAAGCACCGAACATTATTTTTTGGTCAGCTTTATATCTTGAGACTGTGCAGTGATTGTTAAATCTGTAGAACGAAAAAAGCGTTTTGATTTAGGGATTTTCTTTATCATTAGATTGACTTAATCATGCGCGGCTGATATTCAAGGAAAGAAAGAGAAAAAGTGGTCTTTTTTAATTTTGCAGCTTATCTAGTATTAGGATCAAAAGGCTAGGAAAATGTTCTTTGATGATTGTGTACGTAAATTGAAATATCAGCATAAATCTTGGCTAGTTTTCCGACAAGATTTGATGAGAGCGAAACGTTGAAGAAATGAGATGTGCTAAAGAATATTAAGTAAATGAGAACTGACAAGAGAACGATAATAGTCCTGAAATCTCGAAAAACTGAGTCGAAAATTGACTGGACATTTTGACAAATTTCTGCGGTAAACCATCTGGAAAATATGAGTGGGATGAAAGCGAACGCGGTTTCCTAATATCTTAATAATCATCACCTAGAGATCAAAATCTATGTAAAAAGGGAGAAACGAAGAAAGACCTTTTTATTTGTTCTGTTAAAATATATTTCCATTAAAACATATATATTCTTAGTTTTTCTCGTAAAGTCGAGCGATTAGAGTGATAAGAGGCTACTCAGAGACATCCCTGGTCTTATCAAAGGTTTGATGTACGAACGCACATGATTTCTTATACTCTCTCACATTTGATCATCGTTCGTCCGCGACAAAAGACTGCCTCTACGACTCCAATCTTAAGATGATGAAAAAAGAAAAAAAATGGGTGTCTATGTTTGAAATAATATTTCTCTTCTTTTTCCATGAAGTTTTCTGTCTCTTTTGGGGTGAGGGGTGGGGAAGATATTTCGCCGACAATAAACGAAAGTAATGAATACAAAATGCATTAAAGCCAAGTTTTTAACTTGCGCCACCTGCATTTCATCCCAGATAAGAACACCAACAATGGTCCTAACAGTGGAAATGTTGAAAGTTTACAATTACAACACACCGTGAAAGATTCTAAACATGTTGTTCACTCAAAATACATTTTTAGCTTCTGATTGAATGGTGGCTGAATTATGCAAATAATATTTTCAGGGTGGAGTGGGAGAGAATGTTGAAGCTTACACTTTTTCGTGCCGTAGGAAATGCTCATCTACAGAAATGGTAGTAAATATTATTGTTTTACATGTTGACAAATCTGCTTCAAAGGAAAGTAACTGAATGCTCAAACTTTACTTACGGGACCGTTCTTTCAGTTGGAGCCCATTTAAGCTGAGCCGTTCTGAAGCCGAGGAGCTTCTGTCTCAAGCGGAGCCTGGTGCCTTTGTATTTTCCCATGACATGACGTCAGAGTTATTTCTCTCGATATGGTGAGGGTATTTTATGGCTTTACTTCTTGATCTTGTTTTACCTCCTAAGAGTCTCCTGGCTCATTGATGGCGGGACTTTTACCAGTCTCAATGTCATAATACGAGTAAGAGTTTCTAGTTGGTTTACACCTCCAGCAGATGGGATGCCAGAACATCACAAGTTGCCCGGCACTAGTTAGTTGACTGATACCCTGAGGAAAGTGAGGCATTACTAGAGAAAATTTTCCTGTCTAACGATAATGACAAAAGCGTCTTAACACCACAACACAAAAAAGACTTACAAATCACTTGTCCTACCTAAAATGGGTTAGTTTTACTTAGAATACCCCCTCAAAACCACAGTTTCTTTCAAATGCCGCACAAAACTCGTATAAATTCAAGAGTGCACAGTAAAAATTAACGATCGTGTCATATGATGATGCAGGAATTTAAATTCAATTGTAATCCTTCGGTCGTATTTAAATTTCATGCAGGAAATAAATTGGATCTGATGTCACTAAAGAAACTTTCACCAAAATGCTTCTTTAGCACTTCGATTACAACTCCCCATAAAGCTAAAAATTTAGCTTTTAAGCAAGCTCTCGAACTAGTTTTTTACTAATAACTAAAAAGTTCCCTTAGTCTTATTTGCTCAAATAATTTTTAACCCTCTCATCACAAATTCTTTTGGCCATTGTGCACCGATGGCAAGGCGGGGTGTGAGAGGAGAAGGAGTGGTGGGCAAAACAAGGTGTCAACCTAAAATAAGGAAATTTTGGTGTCCTTTATTCTTATGCTTAGATGAATTCCTTTCTCACGCCCACTAACGGGAAGGTTTCTGAAATGAAAAACTTTCTAACCTTGTTTTCTGCAGCGCGGGAAAATACGTTTGCCATCATGCCGTGTTAACACGTGACCAAGGTTACTACGTTGGCGCAAGACGCTTTACGACAATCGGAGCTGTAGTTGATTATTTTAAAGACCACCCTTTAGGAGAAACCACTTTAAAACAAGAGGTAATGTGCTAAAAGAAGATTCACTCCAAGGGCTAAAGAATCGTTCATGAAACGTATTGCATACGCCTAAACGACATAGAGTGTATTGTCGTGTATTATTTCATTATGCAATGTCAAGAAAATTTCGGAACTCTCTATTGGCTATATTAGCGGCAAAGTTGTCTATAATTCTCAGTGAAATACTTTTCACATCCGACTTGCGGATTCAAAATCAAATAAAGCCATGAACTGCAGGAAAAAAAAGCCTGAAAGAAGTTGTGAATTCGAGGGAATTTGAACCAGTGCCTCCCAGATACTATGGTAATCAACTGAGTTGATAACGTAAAATGGCCCCCGTAAAAGAGTTTCAAAGCTGATGTTTCAAGCGTTAGGGCGAATTCGCTCAGAATTCGTCAGAGCGTTCGCTCTGATGAAGGGCTAACGCTCGAAACGTCGGCATTGAAACTCAACTCAGTTTATAATACTAAATTACCCTGTTATACTCTCCCATCGACAAAAACTTCAGAAACTTACGCCACTCAGATACTAGTTGGGCAATACTACCCCTAATACTGCCCCTAAGACGTATTTTCCTCTGTGTTCTAGTTTAGGGCACTCAACCCAAGGATTACTTCTCAAGTACAAGTCAAACAGCATCCTGATTTCACTATCTCTTGTCCGGCACAAATTTCTACAAATGGCCACCCTGCTGGTCAATTTCAATGTGATCAGTCGCTTTCCATTCTCCAAACGTCTGTCGGTAGTAAGACTAACCAATCACAATCTCCTAAGATTACGTTGACGTCACATCTCTCAGGGGAAGAAAAGACTCCTTCAGACGACGATGGTCAGGTGCTGGTTACCATGAATACTGATGGGCAACAACCTCCGAGATGCGCTACTTGGAACGATACACTAACAAAAAAACAGCTAACAAGAAGTATGGCAATTGAAAGGACTGACTCCTCGGGAGGTAGATATCGCGCTTATTTACATTGATACGAGACGAAAATTAAAACTTAGGAAATATGACAAGTCGCAAGCTTTCAGCTAGCTGAAAAATATATTCAAGAAACGTTAAGGGTAACTATTCGTTCATTGCAGAAGTTGATTTGGTCCGGAAAAAACGGGAAAAATTTCTCAGCATCTTTGGTGGTTCGAACATCAACAATTAAATGTTGTGTAAATATGAATTAAAGGTAATGTCAAGCAAATATTTAATTGGAAAACCCATACCACTTAGGATGAGGGAAAAACTGAACACACCAGCATAGCGAAATCATTTCGAGAAGATTAAATACGATACCAAAGCCTTTCAAAAAATAAATTCAAACAACTGTATTCAATTGTTTTTTAACGGACAATATATTCATATTTTCAACAGAAATTCAAGAAACAGCTCTTTCACCATTGTTACCTACAAGAAGTTCAGTGGTAAAATGAGGAATGGCTCATTTTATCAGTTTCTTGTTAGTCACATTCGTTCGAAAAACTGATTATGGAGTTTTCTTGAACCGAGCTTCGGTTAAAGAGAAGCCTACAAGATGAAAATGGCTCACCCTCTCACAGTCTGGACACGTTTTTTGGCAGTCCTTCGTTTAGAGGTCTCTAATCATTACAGATCGTTATGGAAGGGAAATAGAGAAAGACAATCCAATTCTCGGAGCGAGAGAGACATGAAAATGTTCCCCGGGTTTGTTCATATGATATTTTTAGCATGACTACGATTAGTCAAGGACATGCACACGAACCTATATGGTGCGTCACCTTTAATAACCTCCAAAGTGAAAAAAATTGAGTATTTCTGGTCCTCCGAGGCTTGTTCCTTTTTAGCTCTAGGATAAATAACTTTTAAAAGAACAAAGCTTTCAATCTAACACCGTTAACGTTGTTGCCGTGCTTTATTCGCGCATGCAAGTTTTTTTGTCTTGCTTTGTGACTGAAAAAAAAGCTAACCAATTGAAACTGATTTTCTATATACAGTAATGTTACAAATAAATAGAAAGAAAAAATATTTTGACATGTTGATGTACTTGAAAAAGAAAAGATGAATTGATCTTCAAAGGTCAATTACAAGTCGCTGAAGAGAAAAATCTGGAGAAAAATTTCGGGGCAACGACTGATCAATTCATTTTAAGGCATGGATTGGTGTTCAAAGTCTATATATAATAACTATTTTAAAACACGACCATTCCGCTTAGCACTACATGGTAAGAAATCACTAAATCACCCGGTACATCAGCTAAAACATTAAATTTCAAATTTTCAAGCATTGGCGATGAAAGACGGTATTTTATCCAATAAAATACCGTCTTTCATCGCCAATGCTTGAAAATTTTTAGTTTTTCATTAAATAGAAAAAGGATAGTGGAAAAACTCAGTCTGTTATTATACAATTATGTAATATACAACACCAAACAGAGAAAAGCTTTGATGGAACATTTTATAATAAAATTGTGAGGTTAATGCCTTTATTGTGTTCACTTGAACCCTAACTTTGATAAAGCTGCAAGTTTTCTGATATGACCTTTGTCCTCGAAATGGAAAAGTGAAAATAACATATTTAGACGTAGGTTCCGCCGAAATATTGTTCTTGCCTTGCCTATGCGCTATAAGGTTTACATTTACCGTGGGTTGTCTTTGGTAATAATTTGTCGGTGGCACATGCTCGCTGTTTGCCTTCAACACTTTTTTTTTACACATTCAGGCATGAACAAGATGATCACACTAAGGTACTGTAGACTTCTGAATCATGAACGCTTCAGGACCAGTAATTGTAATATGAATACGTCAATGTCATGTAAAACTTCACATATGTTTACCACAGTCTTTCCTTTTCCTCCTACGGAGACCGACAATAAGAAAAAAACTTTCTTTAATGAAATGAAACCCCTGGCCTTATTTGGTTTAATCCCTAGCAGACATTTTCAGTTCAATCTGATCACTTTCATATTTTTCAGCAGTCCGAGTCTTCGTTTGAGTCAATTTTGGGAAAAAGACTCGTGTAGACTTCTCCTGGTTTCTTAGAGGGGCAATGGAAACATAACTGGAGACATTACCAGCAGTATAGGTTAACCGATACAGTCGCCATTTAAAATCACAAATTTAAATACACTCTTCCTCTGGAAAGTTTTTCACTTTCTCAAGAAGTGTCTAGAGTTTGGCATGCATGTCATTTTCATTTTCTTCTACGAGTTTTTTTTTTTCGTGGGTCTTCTTTGATATAAGAATAGAAGAAGAGCTAGGAGATCCGAGATCCATCCTTTTTTCCACATCTTCAGTAGGTGTTTATTTTCGGGGGAGGACTACAGATACCTCATCTCTTGTTCAACTGCAAGCTAAGGCACTCCCTACACCACCCACGCTGACTAAATCAATTTTTACCCAACATTTTTCAACCTTCTCTGCTAGGTCATCTGAGTCCAAAACATTTAATAATCGGGCTTGAGTCTGAGATGTGGTCTTCCACTCGGGACACCAGGCAGAATCGATTACCCACTTTCTTCATTTGAAAGCCAATTTTCTTCACTGGCCAAGCACTTGCAGAACATTTTGACTTCCGCTTCCTTTCCTTTTAACTTGAAGGTGTGTGGATATATGTGATTTTTCAAGTTGGCAGCGGAGGGCTCTAACCATTACATTAAGTCATACAACTCCGTAATTTCGTAAAACATCCGGTCTGCAAAAGCGTGTAACTTTGGGAAATTGTGTAGCGAAGCTCTTCAATTGTGCGTGCCGTTGCGTGTGAATACGAAAACATACCAAGGGAGGGAGGAGTGAGGGGTTCAAGAAACTCGAGACTTATGGGCGAATGTTTATAAAACTGGGTCTTTACTACCGCAAAAAAAGGAAAAAGAAAGAAATTAAAAGAAATGAACTGAAGAGTTTAGCTGTCGGTGATCAGGCACACTCTGTAATGTTGAATAACTTAATTCATCAAGTTCACAGTCATGAGCATTTGTTTTGGCCTGACTGGATCTAATTACCACAGCATACAGGGCAAAACCAAAACCATCACAACAGCAAATCAGAGCAAAGAAAAATATCACAAGATGCCTATGGAAATGCAAAGTAAAAAGAAGCAAATAGTGAAATGAGAGTGATTAAGTCGAGATTTGTTCAGCTTCAATCTAGTTGAGGGTCTTAGCATGATGGCACAAGTTTTTAAGACAAGTCAGCTGCTAGCAGAGTGATGTATCACCAAAACAATCCCAGATTTCTTTCAATACTCCATTGAAAATTGCCCCAGCTAATACAAAGGCTTTGGGTTCCCACAGAGAAATATAAGAATAAATACAACAATGGCTAAATGACCTATTTCTAGAAATTAATCTTTCAGTTTCTTTAAAACTTTACTTTGCACATACAGGAGCAAGGTAAATTTTGAAGGCTCCAAGCAAACATTCAGCTTGAACTGCACATAAATCAATTGAAAATTAAAAAAGAAGTAAATAAACAATAACAACATTCCAGGAGAGAATACATGTTTACCCAAATTAAATATCAAATTGTCCAATTCAACTGCAATAAAATTTCCTTGAGGTTTTTATTTTTCCTGAAACATGTATTGACTTTTCAATAATAATAAGAACTGATATAGTACTTATCAATTAATAAATTCAAACATTATTAGATGATTTAATTACAGTCATTTGAAAAGTTGTTGGTAGTATAAATTTTACATAATTTTATTAGTAACTGGAGGAAATTCTGACATTTATCAACCATTCACTGTTACTTAACTGTAATACAGGACAAGAAATGAAAATTTTAAAACACATCATAAAGTTTTCATGCAACAATATATTAGGAATATCTTATTGCTATGTTATTGCTATTGTTATATGCTTATTGCTATTGTTAACTGTTACTTAACTGTAATACAGGACAAGAAATGAAAATTTTAAAACACATTATAAAGTTTTCATGCAACAATATATTAGGAATATCTTATTGCTATGTTGTATCTACAACATTCTAATGATGAGAGGTTTTGAGAAACATTTTAAATATAAGGGGAAGTGATATAAAAACATGACATTTCGGCAATGACATGTCACCATTATCAAATGCAAATGGTAATAAGAGAATGATCTCCTACAATAACATCAAACTTACCCGTAAAGTAATGTAAAAGTGCATTTGATTTGAATCTTACAGTACAGTCTAAAAAAAAAACAGCATAAGCATATGTATTGCACAAGTTTTCTAAATCATCATCATCTGTTTTCACAATATCTGATTCATTAACCAAAACTATCAGTCTTATCCCCCTTACAAAAGCATTCTACATTCTCCTTCCTGTACCCATTTAGTACAGATCACTTTGAGACACACACTCCCAGCTCAGTGAGCAACAGATACACACTTTAGCTCTCTGACAATGATGGAAATAAAAAACAAATATTCAGAGAGCCATTAAATTTTCATAACAGAAAAGCACTGGCTCGCTTGTCAACTTCAATCTCCATCAATTACTTCACAAGGGAGTTACCCCGTTTTTCTAAATTAAAGCTAAATTCTGATAATCCCTTAAAGTAATGCACAACTGGAAACTTTGCCAAGTTAAAAGAATTTAACCAAAGAATACCATGAAAATGTTTTTTTAGATCAGGAATCAGTGCATGAGAGATACCTTCTAGACAAAAAAATCACTTGGAATAAGTAGCACCATAAATGATAGAAAATAAAAATGATAAAAATGAAAACGAAAACTAACAGATGCTGAGAAGGGTATTACTTATTTCTGTTTCCCTTTTCACTGTCCTTAGCATGCTTCCTTCTCCTTTATACCAATCACCTATATGTTTTACTACATAAATGAATAGTAGATGAAAAAAGCCCCAGTAGAGCCAAGGTGCTCAATTTTGTTCATTACAGATCACAAGACACAGTCATGCTATCATCTCTCTGCACGCGGAAACATAAAATTTACGCCTTTTCTAATGATTGCCTCACCTGCTACTCTGTGCGATCTAGTGAGAAAATTTCAACACCTGATCTGCTATAATTCCAAAGCCCTCAATGTCAATGGAATCATCTTTGACATGGAGGGTTGCAAATGCATTGGAATCTAAAGGAGCTTCCACAATAGCATCAAAAATATAATGGTGAATACCCTTTTCATCAACTGCATAACTGTATTGATGTGTGTGGCCATGAAAACATGCAACCACACAAGGAAATTGCCACAACACTTCCAGAACATCTTGGTAGTTCCACATTATTGTCATGGTGTCTGTGAATCCAGGGTAGATAGGGACATGGCTGAATACCACAGCCTTTTGGCCATGTTCTTCGGCAGTTTTCAGAGTAGCTTCGAGCCACGATAGTTGTTCTGTGCTGATCGCACCATTAAACCTCACAAACCGTCGCTCTAAGCCAGAGAGACCAATAGGACTGTCCAGATCATCATTTTTATTATGTCTTTGGATTATTTCACGAGCTTCTTTATACTGGCAGCTGCTTTCGTCAACGCCAAGAAGGCTTATGTCGTAACTATCCAGGTAAACGAAACAAAATTTTGGATGAGGTGTAAACGAGAAATAAAATGGTTTCGTTTCCAGCCTCACAAATGAAGCTCTTTCATCGCTGTTTAGAAATGCTGCGGTGTGACGGTTGTTTGAAGGATGAAGAACAGATCGTTCAAGTTCTTGGCGAGAGAAATTGTAGAGTTCATGATTTCCCATATTGTGAAAAACGGGTACACCATCCGGAAGTTTGGAGAACTCGATCATCACGGCTTCGAGAGCTTCTTTAGAGAGGTTTCTTCCGCTGTCATTAGTGTCGATTAGATTTGCATTAAAGCCGTCAATGATATCTCCCAGTTGCACTATGAAGGCTGGAGAACTCTTTGCATCTTTCCAATGAGAAATAGCTCTTCGAAGGCAAGTAAGAGCGTTTCGGTATCGTCGCCATTTTGTTTTCTGGTAGTTCTGTCGATCGCAAATGTCTGCGTACTGGATGTCTGTGATCAAACCAAATGAAAACAAGACATCGCTTTCCCTACTGCCCTCGCACCTCATCATGGCAAAATTTTTCTGCATCTCTACCATAATTTTTTCAACAGTTGCATCACAAATGCTTCGTTAGCATTTTCAATTTCGCTCCAGTCTTACTGGGGGAGGTCTGAGTACCAATGGAAGCAAACCAAACCAGCTGACCAGTAGGTAACACTTGCTGACACGTGATGAGGGTCAACACAAATAAAAACAGACGTCATGAATTAACTCTTGTTTTAATTTTTAACACTGCTTTTAAAATGATTTAAGAAATAACATAAATATCCACCATAAGAGTTAGACTTATTATCTTGACCAGCTTAATAAATAATGGATTAGTAAATAATTGAGAATAATTCCAATGCTGTTTTCAAAAATTGGGGGCTGTCCTGGTGTACCGGTACACGAGGGAATTCCTTTTGTTTTCATAACCATACATGGAGTTATGACGCAGTTCGTTAATGTTTCCTTCCTTTGTGTACCGGTACATGAGGACACAACCAAAAATTGCTCATAATTGCAATTTCTTCAACAATAAATAATGTACCAAAGTGGGTGAAAGAAGTACAAGTAATTAAAACTGTAGATTCTAAAACAGCACACATTTTGATAATTTTGGTAACAGACATGAAAGACTGCAAGAATTCAGTTATATAATACAAGTCTGTGTATTAAAGTAATTTCCCCTTCACTTTTCTATGAACTAAAAATTTAATACATTAGTTCCACTGATTTGTGTTAAGCACTAAATTGTGCGTAAAACATCATTAGATCCTTGCTAATATAAGGTAACAGAAATCTTTACACCTCATTCTCTACAACTTGGCATTTGTAAATTATTTACACATTCAATAGTACCTAAGAAAGTAATGAATTTCTCTGACCATTTTTCCCAACTGTCTCAGCTCACTACAGGTGACTGTCGCCATTTATGTACAGCTTAGAGACATAAAGAGTCTTTAGAAATGCAGTTGAAATGTAAACATGGGTAACATTCTTATTAACACATTGGATTCCATAACTAAATTAATTAATATAAACAATATGGTGTGGAATATAGTATAGAGGAAATAGCGCTCTGTAATGTTCTCACCTTATTATCACCACTACAACAAAATTCCACTTTATTAAAGTGTTCTCTAATCCAGTTTTAATTAATTTTTTTTAATTCTTTTATGTACATTAATGTACACCATTAACCAAGTTATTGCCTATGGAATATGTTTAAAAAATAACACAGAACTAAAAGATTAGAGATTCAACCAATAATTCGCAGCCCAAATATTTTGATTTTTTTTGCTCAAAAGATATTTCAGACATCACAACCTTACATAAGAAGACAAATACCAGTAAGAGTAACTTTGCTGACTAAGCACACAGTAGGTTGTGCTGAGAAAATGTCTAAAAGGGTTTTGGTTATCTCCATCTCTAATCTGCTTCAAATTAGTACCAATTTAGCATTGCCCATACCCTTAGAGACTGTTCCACTTATTCAAAAACCCCTTTTGCCCTATGAATTTTCCCTAACCTTTGGATGAGGAGGGATATGGCATTTTCTTTATTATTTAAAGCATTTTTTATTAGAGAAAGCAATAACAGAGACTAGCAATCAAGGGAGTACCATATCAATAGCTAATGCCATACATTTACAAATATGTACATGTATCCAACACACTAGAAGTATTATGTCTGAGACAACTAGGGATGTGCAAGAACAATTTACCTCCAGAACAGCATGAGTCTTCAAGACCCATGTAAAAGTAAAATCTTCCTCCCACTCCACTGAAAACAGCCTGCTCTATCAAGTAATTCTATATTATTCCAGGAACTGTCCGCAGTGCAGCAAAATATACATCAACCCCATTTTACAAACAGCAGCATCTTGATGAAGCATCACATTGATAGCCAATTAAATATTACTTGATATGGGTAGATCAGTTCAGATCTGTTAAAACATGTACTTGTTAAAGAAAAGTGACCCAACAATTACCATCATTTTTTTACTGGAAATTATCATAACTGAGATCAATTTTTTGAATAGCACTTTTTTTCCATAACATGCAAAATGGTATCAATAAAAAACTGAAATGTATCACGTTCTGCCTGCCTAAGCCGTACAATTTGCTAACAGGATTTCAACATACCCCCTTTAATAACTCCTTTTTCTTTGCACAAGCTTTCTCACTACCATAATTTTAAAATTCAAACCTTTAAATTTGACACAAAGAAATTTACAAAGTAGGTTAGCAATTGAATTTCAACATTTGACCTTCTATTTGACACCAAAACCTTTAAAATTTGTCACCAAGTTTTTCACAAAGTATGTTAGTGAAAAAACTTCAATACTCGACTTTCTATGACACCAAAACCTTCAATAATAATAGCATCATTGTTAACATGCAGTGTGGCAAATGCATTGGAATCAAGAGGTGCTGTAATAACACCATCAAAAGTCAAGTGATGGATACCATGTTTGTCCATGAAATAATCATCATAATGAGTGTGACCATGGAAACAGGCAACCACACATCCAGACTGCCAGAGCACCTTTAATACATCTTGGTAGTTCCAAAGCAGATCTATTGTACCACGTCGAGGCCTGTTTCCTGGAGAGATTGGGACATGGCTGAAAATAACAGCTTTTTGACCATTTTCTTGAGCTTCTTCAAGGACTGCCTGCAGCCACTGAAGTTGGACAGGGCCAATTGCACCATTGTACTCAACGAAACGTCTGTTTAAGCCGTGAAGACCATCGGCACTTTCGAAGTCGTCATTCTTGTTGTACTTACGCACCGTTGCCAGAGCTTCTTTATACCTAGGACTACCTTCGTCTACACCGTGGAGGCTTACGTCGTAGCTATCCAAGTACACGAAACAAAATTTGGGATGAGGTACAAACGAGAAGTAAAATGGTTTCGTCTCCTCCTCGCTTAAAGCAGGCAGGCTTTGATGCTTTCTCAAATATGCAGCACTTTCACAGCTGTTGGAAGGGTGCAGAATAGATCTTGAAAGTTCCTCGCGAGTAAAATTGTACAGTTCGTGATTTCCTAAGTTGTGAAACACGGGAATTTCTTGTGGAAGTTCAGAAAATTCTTTCATCACTGCATCCAAAGCTTCTTGAGAGAAGTTACTCTCGCCATTATTTGCATCGATTAGATCTGCGTTAAAGCCATCGATAATGTCTCCCAGTTGTACGATGAATGAGGGAGAATTGTTTGGTCTCTTCCAATGTTCTACGGCTTCTTTCAGACAACACAGAGCGTTTCGGTATCTACGCCACCTCGTCTTTGCAGAGTTTGGTCGATCACAAATATCTGCATACTGGATGTCAGTGATAAGGCCAAATGAAAATAGAACATCAGTATCGCCATTGTTCGGATCCATAACGGCTTTACCCCAGAAAAAACGTTCTCACGCCAAAGGAAAATTAACTCAGAACACCGCCATTTTGGCGAATGCCAGAATTATGCCGGTTCTTTATCGTTATCATAGCGGCTTTGGTTTCTGATTGGCTGAATATATGGCAAGATGTATATTGAACCAATCACATATCGTCATAACAAAAAACAAACGAGTCCAAATCTCCAGGTGAAACCCACGTGCTACCGGCGGAGTAACGAAAATACCTCTGTTTTCAAAATGAAAACAAAGGCATCTTTGTATACAAATTTAAGTCGTCTTAAGCATTCCCTTTCACACACGCGACGGAAAAAATTTTATATTCCTTATTCTTTTAGAGAAGATACGGGATGTTCGGAGAACACTGGAAGTTTTTTAAACCAAGAGGCGCAGCTGAGAGGATTACAAACTTTTCGCGCAGCAAAAAATAAAGGCTTAAGACGGAGCAATAAGTCAGTTAAATTGCGTTAGAAAATTTGATACTGTTAGAAAAATTAAATTTATGTCGTTGTTTTTGGCGTTCAAAGTGTCCTCTTCGTTTCCTCCAAGCCAAAGGCCTTAAACAAATTAAAATCTGAGAATTCCCCTCGTGTGCGCGCCATTTCACAGGACTCGTTTATAAATGGTACATATGTTTAGGCCTGTTTATGTTACGCAATCTGCCAAATTTGAGGATTTGCATGGGAGTGAACGGTTGCATTCTCACAGGAACGTTAGTTTCGCCATTTTTTGCCGTCCTAGAACTATGATTTTATAGAAAAACCGTTCTGTAACAAACGAAAGACGTAAATATTCGTTCCGAGACTAGTCAAATAAACCATCCGCTGTGGCCTCTTGAAAAGATTAACCTAATCCTAGCCTGAACGACAAAGAGCGTAAACGAAAATACAGGCAAAAGTAAAACCGTTAGTAACATGGTTTTTCGCATTTTCCTTCAATTCTAGCAGTTTGCTTCTTAACATTTTGAGCTCTCATTCGCTCGTTGAGAGAGAGTTTATGTTTTTAACTCGTGAATTGCGCGCATGCGCAAGAGCGAGTTATAGATACGATGTGGGGAATGGCATTCGCTCGCTCGCTCGACTGGTCGATTCCTGTAAACTTTTTTTAGATTTTAGGCTTTTGAGTGCATTTTATAGTTCTTGGCGAGCAATAAACAGACGAAATGGCGACCTTTATTGCTAAGAATAGTGGTGGGGTGAAAAAGAAGCCAATGATAATCTTAAAAGAGTTTTGTTTTTCGTTTTAGTTTCAACAAGCGGCGCCAGCGACTGGCAGGCATGCAAGGATTCACACTGAAATAACAGAACAACCTTCGTTTTTCATAAAATTGTAATTTACAATCCTTGAACTTGAAAACAATCCGAAGATTCATTGAAAATATCACTCACTGCGAAGCGCTCGGAGTTTACAGATGTTCAAAAGCTTTTTCTGTTATAGCGTGAGATTGAGGACAAAATTGATCATTACGTTTCGTCGCGTGTGTTTTTCCTGTGTGAAGCAACAGAAGATGCCGGCCACTGACGAAATAACAAGTTAACACGAAAATCAAATAACACCTAAACAAACAATTTTAGCTACCGATTTTCAGTGAATTTTTAAAGAACAATTTTCTTTTAAGTTTCAAGACAATTTGAAGATTCAACATAGATACAACGTACTAAAATGCGAAAGTTACACACCACAAAATAGATAAATAGACCTGAAATGAAATTCTATCTTGTTATTGATCATACGTTGCCTAGCACGTGACTTAAATCTACCCAGGCGGAGATCCAAAATGACGGTGGCAGGCTTGGCTTAGTTATATCACTCAAAACTCGTTCCCGTTTGTCTCATTTGATAAAGAGAGAATCGTTAATGTTTTCATTAAGATAGTATTGCCTTGATTTTCTAATATTTACAACGAAAGACAGTAAATTTCACTTTTCACCCACATTTACTTCCAACCTTTTCTTTTGAACCAGAAACAAAAATGATAGACGTTTAAAACACATGACATCATCCACCTTGTCAAATGTAATAGCATGATCATTTCAATTGTAATGCCTTCTTATCCCAACGTTACTTTGTTTCTTTGCTACATTAGCGAACACTGAACTACTGCTCGTACTCTAGATATGACAATCAACCACAAAATTCCCTAAACCAGATAACATTAAACATAATCTAAAAAATCATGTGTCAATTCACGAGTTTGCTCACAGAGCACTTTGATTCTGTTTGGCCTTTGTTACAAAGGGAGCTGACGTTGGGCCGGTACATGGAAAACACAATCGTGAAAGCAGGAAATAAAACGAAATTCACGAAAAACTTAAAATGTGAAGTTTATTTGCTAACGAGTTGAAAAACTCTCTACATTCATTGATTTAAGCAAAAGGTTGTAATTTTGTCCTAAACTGGCAATAGATGTTTACCCGACCGAAGTAGTATTACGTTACTTGAGCGTCACTTTAACACAACTAATTTAATTACACACAAAAAAACCTGAAAACTTCTGAGAAAAAGCAGCTGATATACGACACAACATCTAATTAATACCTTAAGGAAGCTTGAAAGAACACTCAGCTCGTTACATTCATCAACAACAAAATGCTTAGCGAACGTTTGCTAGTCGGAAAAATAATTCTTACTGCCACCTAAATACAATTTACAATTACCAATAGTGGCATTACGAAACATTTTTTAGTTTTATTATGGTGCATATTAAATAAGCAGTATGTTATATTTCAAAATGTGCGGAGCAATTAAAACGGAGTGACTTAGATAATCGAATTTGACCGTTAAAAAATAACAATAACACACCACGACACACATGAAATAAAAAGTATCACTCTCCTATAATGAGTGCACATTTTATACTAGCGATTTTAAGTTGTGTAAAACTTAGTAAAAGTACCCACTTGTTGTTCTTAACGACCACTGAAATAAAACTCTCAGCTACTTGCGTGATTGTTCTCTTCGCATCGTGAGCTAGAAATTGTTTAGGAATGGAAATCGATGAAATGCAGTTATAATTCTCTCTAATGTATTTAAAAAAAACACGTTTTGAATATTCAAATATCATTAAGGACTAGCGTCTTCTTTTAATACGTTACAGAGAGATTAACTCAAGATGAAGACACGACTTAACTTAATTATTTGTACAACGTCTTGAAAACATACACGCTAGGTAACTTGTGTCACGTCACCAAGAGAACACTTTGCTAAAACGCAATAACACTTAATAACTCAACCACTAGCTTCAACACGTAACGCAACTACGTGTTAGCGCAGGTATGGAGGCTTTGACAGTAGTTTATTAGACAACAATATGAGTATGTTGCCTTCTTGGCGAAAAATTCTAGAGGCAGAAGTTACAATTTACTCAGAATGAAATATTCCTCCAAATTAAAAAGAGTTCCTCCGACAAATCATAACTCCTGAGTTTCCTTATGCTTTCACTTTTTCTTCATCTGTTCAAACGCCTGAAAAATAACAACAACTGTGAGTTAAGTTGCTCTTGGTTAAATAAAAACTGCAAGCTTAGTATCAGGTTTACATTCAGAGTGGAAACGTCCCGTTAATAAACTGTGAACGCTTCCCCAAAAGTAACAACGCAATTCCTTATTTCTAAAAGGTCTGGCCGGGGATTACTGACTTTCCCCAACGTCACGTATGACTTAATAGTTATGTTATATTACTGCGCATATCGACTACATAAACTCTTTTCCCTCAAATCTATTTCTCGTTTTCATCGTAAGCTATAACAAAATTTGGTTTTATCAACTGAGTTGACCATGCAACTTTGCCACTGTAAAGAGTTTCTGAAGCTGATGTTTCGAGTGTTAGCCCTTCGTCAGAGCGAAAGCATGTTAAAACACCTGGCAAGTAAGGAATTATCCATCCAACAGCTATCAATTCTCACAATTTAAAAACTCATTCCAGGAAACAGCTCATAAGAACCGACAAACTACTCAGCGAAAGAGTGGCATTTTAATGAAACAAAAATTCCTTTATCAGTAAGAAAATGCCGAACGGAAGAATCACTTGTCAAATCTTGGAAGCTCTGTCTCTAAACTTGAATTAAACGGGTGGTTCTTTGAAATGTTTTCCACAGAAACCAGAATGCCCATTAGACGACGACTAAAGACAAGTACAAAATGAATGATCCCAGTTTAAACATCTTTTCGTCTTAGTCCATTCTTACCTTGATCTGAGACAACACACTTCCTGTCTGGGCAAGCTCTTTCTCCTTGTCCTTCCCAGAGGACGGGGATGAAATAGCCATCCTTGAGCTTTGTACCTCAACCGAACCCAGCTTACATTCTCTACTATTTTTACGAAGCGACTTCTCCGGATTTGTCTTCTCAGGTGTCTTTTGGTATCTTAACTCCATCACTTTCAGATTTTTCGTTTCATTCTCAATTTCCATAAGTCTTTTCTTTGTCTTTGTCATCTCATTTTGAGATTCATGGAATTCAGCGTCAGCATCTGTGGTTGCCTTTGATCTGGAAGTCGACAGACTGAAGAATATTTTCCTATCCTTGGCGACTGATAACCTCTTTCTCAGATTTTCCATCTTTTTCAGAAGCTCTTCTTTTTCTTTCAGCAAACTCTCCATTTTTTCAGGATAAGTTCCATTCTCTTTAGCTTTTGAAGCACTCCTCGGGTCTTCGAAGTTAAGTCTGTTTAAGGCGACAATAGAAGCTCTTTTTTCTTTCACAACAGGTCCTCCCTCCTCTTTCAGCTGCTTGGCATAGTTCTGGAAAGCCTTTTCAGTTTGCTCCAACTCCTCTCTTTCTCTATCTGGATCTGGCGAAGAGAATTGTCAAGCCTCAGATAAGCTTTATAATCAAAAATCAATGTATCCGACTAGCTCGGGAAAACGTAAGTGACCAAGTAGAGACAGGATTTAGCTTTACATCCAATTGGTTGAAACTCGCAAATAGTGGCACGTTTTTATTTCGACCAATCATCAGGCGTAATATAGCGAAACCAATTCAATATTGGATTTCCTTTCACATATTATTTTTATTTTTCAATCAATATTTCATTTTCCGTTTTCCATAACATTCACTGTCATCAGAAACCGTGCCAGATGCCATGAAAATTATCATAACATCAGCAAGAGAGAGTCACAAGTGCACACACATCATTACGTCTAGGTATCTTTCCCCTTCTCCATAATGTAGATTGTATTGTTACAATTACTTTAGCTTTTTAACATCCATTGCCTAGAAAATCTCATAATAACTCTTCTCGAGACAAGCTGCCTAAATGTATGTAACATCACTGCGCAAAAAAATCTCCTTTTGTTGGCACCATCATGACTGTTTTCTAGATGGAAACCTCGACGTTCGTTGAGAATGTTAAACAGCAAAGTAAAAAAAGGTACTTTCCGATTGTAAGCCTTTAAGATAGGAAATTTCGGTACCATCTGCTTAAAAGTCTTAGCTGCAAATTCCATTCAGATGATAAGCGATCGAAATATGTACTTTGCTACTTACCCCGTTGGGATGAATTAGAAGAATTTCTCTCCTTTTTATCCTTGGCTTTGTTTTCAGTTTTTTCTTCTTCAACTTCTTTCTTTTCCACAATGTATTTTTGTTTCTTTGTTACAACCTCCGTTTCCTTGGGAGCCTTTGATACGCTGTCTCTCCTTTGGTCTTGGGTCGTCTCACTTGGTTGATTGTTCTCATACAGACTTTTTCTAGCCTTGATTCCTTGTGATACTTCAGATCTACCAATCTTTGAGCAGGAGCAAAACAGTTGTGTTAGAATTTGACAAAAATATTTCCTGTTCGCCAAAAAAAATAACGTCAAGTGTACTCACAACAATATAACGGCTCTTAAAATTTACAAAGACCGACATGATCAAAACGTTAGGGTTGAATAATAAGGACGAAGGATTTGTAGTAAGAACCACGCATTCACTAAACAATGAAAGAGAATCTTGTCTCGAGTCTCTAAATTGAAAGCTGTTATGGTGAGATGCCAAACCACACGTCATTACCACTTCTTACTTCTAAGCAGGTTCAACATATTTTTACCTTAATTAACAGCTTAGTATTATGCCAATAGAAAAACTTGATTGCTTCAAATAAGAAACGTAGTCGCCGAAAATGAAATGTTTATGTACATCAAGGGTTCCCGTAAACATTTTGCACTAATCAGTGAGATTAGAGTTGTCAACGTTATACTAACAGTATATCAACTCATGAACAAGTAGCTCCCTATCCTATAATCCTAAATACAATTTGAAAAGAAAATATAAAAAAATAAAGTTGTTAAGGTGACTTTAGAAACCAAACGTACCTGTTCTCCTTTCCGTCCCGCTTCGATTCTCTGTTGAACTTTCAATTCCACCTGCTTTTCCTCTTCAGTGGGTTCTCTAACCAACTGCAGATAATCATCAGCAGCTAATTCTTCTTCGTTAGTAACAACTTCATTATCCACACCAGTGACTTGATTTTCTTTGTCACGCTCCTCATCTCCATCCAACAGATTTTCCTTGGAGGATGGACGATTAATGTACTTGACCTTCTCGTCAAACGAATCATTTCTTTCCAAAGTAGGTTTACCAGCGCTGTAATCGTCTTCCTCTTCTATCTCCACTGGAGAGGATGTAGCACGTTGCCGGTCAGCTGTTTTCTTCTTTGTTGTTTTTGTCAGGGTGTCAGCTAATTTGTGGATTCCAGCAGTAAGTTTCGAGCCTGAGAAAGGAAGAACGTACAAAATGGTCCAAACCATGCGATAAAAAAAAGGAATAAGGTGTGACCTATAAACAATTTTACGAAAGTTCGTACCGCCAAAATCTGTTTTAATTCCATTGAGTGACCAAGACAAAATTTCTCCCTACAATATCAACACATTGTCAAGCAGACAAGTGACGAGAATAAAGAAAAATATCAATTACAGGATTACTAGTTGATACAATACCAAACTATCCGAACTAACATCATTAGAATTGTACAGTAGAGAGTAAGGAGAAGTACTAAAAAGATGTTAGGAGCGAAAGAGTTCAGTTTTCCGAAGTGAAGCGACTGTGATATAATCAATAAAGTCTGTGTCTTAGAGCCCGTCTAAATTCATTTATAACATATTGAGCAAATTTGGTTTATATTTTTTAGTTGTTTTATTGCTTTCATGTAACTTATTATCGTGTAGCCTGCGTTTAGTTTTCGAGCACAAGAACATTTTAAAAAAATAACTTAAGCGCTGATAACGAGCCGTTTCTTTAGCCATTTTCTTTTTTATTATTCAAGGGTGAATGAAAATGATCTGAATCAACCTAACACTACCTTAATTGCAGTACAAAAATAGTGGGTGGCCCGAGCGAGGACAAGGACAAGTACTGTACTAATACATTGGAATCAATGAGATATCATAATTTATATGATGCCTCTGTGATACCATGAATCTTTGTTTCAGTAAGAAAAAAAACTACTCTACTCGCAATGCGGAAACCAAAGTCACACAAACTCTTCTTTTTTCCTTTGAAAATAAGCACCTAAAGTAATATGGAGGCACTCACTAGCTTCTCCTTTGTAAACCTCAACACGCATGGCAATGTGGTTATGCCAAGACTGAGGCTTTATCCTCACATAACGTGCATTCACTGCCATTTTCAGCATGTTCGTGACTACTGTGTCAGGATCGCTGTTACCCTGGAAAACCTGTCAGAAAATACAATGCATTAAGAACAACACTTAGAACTTGAACTGATGCAAGCAATTTAACATAAAAGAAATGTACAAGCAAGCTGAGTAACCTTTTGCTCTGGATTACCAAATTAAAACAATTGAAGTTGTTTCTCAAAGAAAAAACGGCACAACTAAGAGTCGTTGAGGGGCGGAGGTAAAGAAGACCCTTGCACGTTGAGGAGCAAATATGGAGTCCTTAGAGCGAGGAAATCGTACGTTTTTTGTAAATTCCTCAATAAGTTGGAGATAACTCCAAAACACAAGCAAACTAATGATTTTACCTTAGCAATTCCAAACTCTTTATAATTGGCCCAGTTTTCTCCATTCTTGCTGTAAGCCAGTGTGTAAGTCTTCACAAACCAACCTCCCTGATCAAGAAAACCTGGTTTTCCTTGTGAAGCCACACCACACACTTTGTCCACCTCACCTACAAAAATATTTCAATAATCATGTCCAGTACGTTTTTATAAATTTACTTACTTTCTTTATTTACTTTCTGAAGAAGTTCTCATCTCCCTTCATCGTTCATTTCACAAACTATGTACAATCTCTTGATTTATGACCTAATGGGTACTAGTGCTTTTCCCACACACCTCTCCCCTGCGTCCTCCTGCTTATCTCCTACCCCTTGGGTCCCCCCTAAAACAAAATTCATATCTCATCTCAACATGGCGGCCACACATTTCGAGAAGTCGAAATCCTCCTCGATCCTCAGCATAAATATGCCTCGAATACAAGTTATTTTTCAAATTGAATTGACCATATTTCAAATTTTAGTTATATTAATTTACAAAAATAACACTAAAAAAATGTTACCAAGGTCAATCTGAAGATATTGCTGTTTATCATTGCCTTTGGCACACCACGCTCCGACTGATGAATTAAGTCTGCCTGCAGAGGGCTTTGAAGAATTGTCCAGAAATGATGATGCTGTTATAGCACTATCTTCAATAGCACCATCTGAAACACCAGCAGGGACAGGACCTAGAAACAAAATGGAGTGTAATCAGAAGAAGTGATTATCTAAATTATGGAAACCTATGAAATGTGAGTAATGTCATAGATGTAATATTTTTTTGTGAAAGGTACGATTGATACGACTTAGTTAAGCTTCTTTCTTTGTTCCTCTTTCAATTTGAAAGTCAACAAGAGCTTTGCCATTTGCTTAAAAAATCTCATTTCTTTTTTAAGGTAAACAGTAAACCTCAGGGAATAAAGGAAAGCCAAACAAAGCTCCTTGTTTATCGATAGCTAATCCTTTCCTTTTCTGACCTTTAACTCCCAGAAGTGATGAAGATGTAACTTCTCCCCATAATATCAATACCTTATCAAGCAAACAAGTAATGAGAATACTTGAACCCATCAAATAGAAGTTGTCATTGTCATGACTAATGTACAAGGAAATGTGTATCAGCAAGAGGGGAGAGTTAACAATCAGATTTTGGGAGTTAAAGGGTGAAATCTGCTGAGAAAACCTCAAAAATTCTTAAGAACTCAATTATCTCATTTATCCTCAAAAATTAAGATGAACAAGCCTCAAGTTTCAAGTCAGTGTGGTAAAATCACATTTAATGTAGTAGAAAAAAGCATTTCTGTGCATCTCACAAAATAGATTATATGGTTTACTAGCTTTACCTCAATTGGACATATTGTGAATTCTGGGTTACATGTGTCCACCATCTTTTTGTAAGATGGTGAATTTAATTGTATTTTTACTACTCTAGGTGAAGTGAAAATAACATGACTACCCTGACTCCTTTAAGTAGTTAATAAAATTACGACATAACTAACCTTTAGCTGATTTATCAGAGGGTTTGCCTTGAATACCAGTTGGACACCCTTCTATTTTTTTGGAATTTAGGCCCTGCCATTTGATTACTTTATCAGCATTAGCAACTGAAGAGGACACCTCTTCATAAATCTCCTCACTCTCCCATGTGATTTGACAGCTCTCTTCATTTCCATCTCCCTCTGCACCATCTGGAGTGTTCCGCGGGGGTAAATCAGGCGGCAAAGGAGGGAGTGGTCCCAATTCCAGAAGACTTGAAGATGGTGATGATGATTTCAATTTTTCCACAGTTGTCACTGTAGAAGGAACAACTTCCATGTAAAGGTCTTCATCATCTGTCTCATTGTTTTTATTTAGTGGGAAAGTGTTGCTTGTAGGTGTTGGAGTCTTCTCTGATCCTGGAGAAGCTATGGGAGTAACATATTCACCTTCTTGTCCATCTTCCTCTTGATCATAAAACCCTGAACTTGTATCTGTCAGTGAGACAGCAAGTTGAATAAATCCAGATTCTATTAAGAAAGCCTTTTTCCAGCGTTCCCAGTCTTTCAAAGTTTTGGCCACAAGTGTAAAATGATTTGTACCATCTCTTATCACCTGAATTGCAAGCTTGGCTTTTTCTTCTTCTCCCACTTTGATCTCGCTGCCATTCAGGTCAACTGTTATTTCAGGATCCTCATCTTTGATTGTTTTGAAACAAAGCAATTTCTGTTCTCTTATCAAGAACCAGCGCTTGGAGCTGTCATTTGACTTGAATGCATAACCTGCCAAGGCAACCCCATCCTCAGGACTACTGAAGAGCTTGCCTTTCTTTGCCTTCTTCTTGAGCCATTTAAAGAACTGTTTTGTCTTTTTAGCTTTCTGAACTGGTTGTGTTTGGGGGATTGTTGATACATCACCACCATCTGATGAAGCAGAGTCAAATTCATCTGTAGCAAATCCATCATCTTGAAAATTCTCTTCAGCTCTCTTTTGGTTTGCTACATCTTCATAAGGGTCTTCTACAAACTTTTCTCCATCAACTTCATCAGGCCTTTTAGGTAGCTCTTTTTTCTCATAACCATTTTTCACAGATTCTCCATTCACATAACCTACTGGCAGATTATTGTCACTCTGTGAAAACAATTATTCATACTATTAGCAACAACTTAAAAGCAACTAGATAATTTTGTTTGTGTTCTTCCCTTAGCAACCTCATCACCTACTAAAACAGTGCCTATATATAACAAAATAGCAGACTCACAAACATGAAAAAAAAGAAAAAAAAAAAAAAGTTAATACTGACACTAACAATAACACTATAAGTTTTTAAAAATGTTATGCTATCATATTTTACAAGTGGTTTCTAGAATTTTTTCCAATTCCACAGTTTCTGCTCCCAGGACTCATTATTGCAATAGTGAAACTTCAAGTCCACAATCAAAACATCAACATGGTGTTGAAATTTTCCCATTGCTGTTATGCCAAGCCTTGAAATTTGATCTAATTTGTTGACTAAACACAAAGAAACAACTTATCCCTTACAAAACAACAGACATCCTTCCACCTAGCTCGAACTGTCTTCATATCTCTGAAATGTGGCATCACAACTGCTTACAGAAATATGACAAGTACATGTATGCTTGTAGCTTTGTTCATATCTATAACTTCCTCTCATAGCAAATGAAATATTTACAAATATCGCTTATCAGTTCAGCGTTAATCCAATTAATATACATACACGTGATCCAATAGACCAGCTCTGAATGTGAGCAAAAAGCTTTGCAAGACAAGGCATTGTGGTTGATTTACAAAAATACTTTTGATCAAAGCAAACTTCTCAAATAACATAAGACTCCTTCAATACGCAAATAACATTTTTCAGTTCTGTTTACGATCAATTTACATATAAATTTATACCAATATATAAAATTGATATTGATTCATTCTAATTAGGCATAGCGCACCTATTTTCCCAGACATCTGGCTAGGCAATAAGGCAACGACTAGTTTCACCACAGCTCGACTCTATCAGGGTATATCAGTTTAAAAAATAGATTTTAGTTTAAATTCAGAAAACCAAAATTTAGATACCTTTTCCAAATTTTACATTTCTTTTCAGGGAAAATGTGTAAGTAACAAATTCTTAGAAAATTTATCGGAATTATAAATGAAGTTATATCAAGCAACTGAGACAATACAGAAAGAAGATATTGAAAGTCATTAATATTCAAATTAAGCATCTGACACAGTGATATTCACCAGTAGCTTCACCACAAGTGTTATTTTGATAATGCTAAGTTAAAGACCATATCAGAAATTGACAGTCAGTGGCTGTTAAAATGATTACACCTTACATAAGGTTAAGTGTTCAAAGTAACTGGTGAACTGATTTTGTGGATATTTCTTTCAATATTGATTAAGCTTCAATTTTCACTGGGGAAGATTGCTTAAAAATGCTTCTTAATGAATGTGTCACTTCGCTCGGAAAAAGATGCAAAATAAGCAATGTGGCGTTCCTCTTAAGAACAATCTATTATTATGGATTTAACTTATCTGTGACTCAAGATATAAATAAGATTACTCAAACCATCATGCTTACTGGCAGGTAAAACCCACTTCTATTCTATTTCTGTGCTGTAAAAAGACTGTATTCCTAACATGATCAGACACATTTATTTTGCAATTTATGATTTGGTGATAAAACTTGCTAAATATAGTCTAGCTATCTCTATCTAGATTGTACCAATTGCCACACTTGACACTCCAATTAACCTCAGATGGCTTTGAATAGCAACAAAGATGGCTTGACAATGAATGGACAAAATAGAACACAACAACCTGAATTAACCAACAGATAAACCTTTTAACTCCCATGAGTGACCAAGATGGAATTTCTCCTTACAACATCAATACAATATTAAGTAGATAAGTGATGAGAATATAGAGAAATATTAATTGGTAGATTGTTAATTGATCCTATACCAAATTCTCTGAATCAACAACACGAGAATTGTACAACAGACAGACAGGAGAATTACTAATGAATCATGGGAATGAAAGGGTTTAATAAAAAAAACCAACAATTAACTATATTTGCTACCAACACATAAGTCTGGCAGCCAATAACATCACTGCAAACTGACTAATAACACTCAACTGAGAAACAACTCCTCACTTGAATCTAATGATTACTTTTAATAAGGTTCTCAAACTGCCATTGCTACCAACAAAAGTCTCTTTCCAAGACTACATCGAGTCATGCAAAATTGATGTAGAATGTAAATATCCACTTTAACATTGATGAGTCATTTCACACTTTAAATTTTTTAGCTAAGATTCAACATTAAACCTTTCATTGTATGATTTATCTGTTAGAGCAGTAAAATGTAACCGCAACCTCCTAGATAAATCAAACACATCAAAATTTAAATATGCCCAATTTAAGAACTTAAGGTGCAATAAGTACTTCAAACCAACTTTAAGAAAACAAAAACAACTTTAAATAAAGGGAAATAAATATGTCTGCAAAACAGGATAAAATTAGCATAAAAATGCAACAGTTAGCAATCAAAAAATAAACTCTAAATTACTGTTTATGACAGATCATCAAAGATTTAAGAAGATTACTTTTATATATAAAGGCCCTTTACCTCATTTAACTCAGAACATTTCTTGAAGGATTGAGATGAAAGATGGTTAGCATCTGATTTGAAAGAGCTACTCAAAGATGCTTCTGCAAATTCATCAAGTTCTTCCTCCTCCTCCTCCTCTAAAATGGACTGCATAAGAGGAGCTTGGGGAGGAGCAGATAATTTTTTTTCATTTGTATTAGAAGGTGCAACAGAGGAATGTTTACCAGCAGATGCAGCAATAGTTAAAACCTTCATCCACTCTTTCAGTTCATCATTATTAGAAGCAACAAACACCCAAGGCACCATGTCTGACTGAGTCAGTCTAAACACAGGTGTGCGCATAAGCCGATCATCCAAAGAGATCTGACAACATGGCATGATGATGACATCATATGCTACTTCTTCTGGATCTTGAGAAGGAAATATGCACAGATGCTGGTCGATAAGAACACACCACCAGAGCTTTTCACTGTGCTTCTCCCTCAAAAGTCCTGCAAAATCTGGCTCAGTCAAATCTTCCAGAGAAATGTCAAACAATGCTGCACTGTCTCTCTTGCGACTCTTTCGTTTATTGATTGGGGAACAGTTTGATGTGTTTAGTTCATTTGAAGTATTTAAGGTGTTATGATGATGAACATCATCCTCATTATTGTCAGAGGTGTCCTCTTCTTCTTCAGTGGGATGATAGATAACAAGTTGACGCAAGTCATTTAAGTTAATCTCTTCATGATCAAAGTCAGCATAATAAGATCCCTGTTTATGTTACAAGTTACAAGAAAGAACAGAAAAAGTTAGCAAGTTTAAGTTAAAAATAACTTTAGATTTAGTGGTCACAATTTAATTTACCCTCTAGACCAAACAGTTAAAATTTGTTGTAATTAACCTGATTGTTGACCTTTTAATTTAGATGCTATCTTGCCATCTGGCAAATCAAAAACTGGTCTGTCCTGTAAAGTTAGAAAATCACCACAACAGTATTTAGATGAGATAAATAAAAAATTACAAGAAGAATTGGTTGTACCCCCCTTGCTTCTCAGGGAGAAAAAATGAAGAAGGAAGAGAGATAAAAGAGGCCGCCAAAAAATATTTTTTTTTGGTTTTAATTTGATTGTCTGTTTTAATTCAACACTGTTATTTTATGAAATTATAACAAAATTCATTTATCAGTGCAACAATCTACAATTTTGTGACTTTACAAAGTGCAGAGGAGACTAAAAAATTGATAATTTTTCAACATAGTGCTGTATAAGCTTTAAAAAGACATCCTAATGTTGATTGTTGTGGTTATCATATTTCATTTGATCATTTTTGTTACTGCATTGTAAATAATCCTATTAACTATTTGGTATGTTCACTTTTAAAAGTTTGAATCTCAACTGTTAGTTTTACAGAATAATTTTAAACCTTAAAAATTGTTTATCAATTATCAAAAATATCATATATGTTTTCTAAGAGCAAAGCACCAGACAAATCAACTTAAGGCCATGGCTTTTTTGCACTCTGGGTAAGAAAATCATTATAGATAGAGATACAATTATACCTTCAAATATTCTTTATTTGTGCTACATGTAAGAAAAGAAAATGGTATAGATCCAAATTACAACAGTCTTGAACATCTGTGACTGGCCACATGATTCATTTGTAGTGTTCACCAAGGACTAACAATTACTCCACAAATTTTTTTATTTAAATGTAGCAGTAAATACCTTTTTAGTCTTGCTTGCTTGCCAGTTTCCTAAATCCTCTGGTTGCATATAAGTGGACATATCTGGAAGGGAACCACTGCGGGGAATCCCTTGGTCAGCAATTCCATTCAAATCATATGTTTCATCCAATGATTGACTTGAAACAGAGAGTCCATTATTAAGGAGATTGTCATCCTTCATGCTGCTGTTTTTCATGTTGTTTAGAGAACTAATCATTCCTTCCACAAGAGTAACACATTCTTGTTTGTGCACATCAGCTTCACTGCTCAGGGATTCATTTGATAATGTGTTTTGAAGGAAAAAATTCAATTTGGAAAGTCCAGCTTGAAATTCTGTGAAGTAAAAAGCAATTTAATTAATTATCACCAATTTAGCTGGAAAGAATTGGATGTATACAAACTCTGATTATTCAAAAAATTCTGAAGGATTCCAAACTCATTCAAAGGATTAGCAATTGAAAAATTACTTTTCAAAAGATTACAGAATTTTCTTAAAGATACTCATGTAATTCCTTGCTAAATTAGAAAAACAGGAACAATCAAAAGTTTTTGATCAAAATGTGGTCATGAGAATCAAGGAAATGATTGCAAACTTGAACAGCTCTTGATTTCTAATTAAATTCTCCTTGTCATCGCTGAGGAATAAATTAAGAACACTGTGGAAAATGTGCATGCTGATGCTAGGGAATAAAGAGTTAAGAGCTTTGTTTCCATAAGTAAGCAAAATCCTAGATTATCATTGATGATTTTACAAGATCCCCAGAGCCCTGTTTTTTGCTGATTGTGAAATGACCTTTGTGACATGTTGCTTGACATGCCCGTGTTGCTGATATCTTGCCTTAAGAGATTTAACCAAAAATTTAGGGTCATGTCTTCACAAAATTCATTCCAACTGATCTCTCTATGTGAAGTAACCAAGTCAAAGACATTTGAAAGACATGTGAAAGACTTCTGAAAGACATATGAAATAAATTAACCATGTGATACACTATATGTGGCACAATATTGACCAGAATCTGTTACTCTGACATGCCTGTGAATTTCACTTTTGGTGCGTGAAACTGGAAGCCTTCATTAAGAGTTCAAGCTCATTATGTGAAAGAATAGTGTGACCAAAAAAATGGTGCTCACCAAAAATAAGAAAGAAAAGTTGAACATAATTAGTTTCAGTTTTGTTCAGTTTAAAACTTTTCCTGCCACAAGCCAAATGAAATCAAGAAATAATATTTTAACATGCTTCTCATATGCCTCTCACCTTACAAATTTTACATGCATTTGAAATTTTCACTTGAAATTACTGAGAAAACTGGCAGTGTCTGGGATGTTCTTTGGAAACCTTTTGCTGTTAATATTTGGCCAAATTTACAGGGTCTAATTTCACTTCATAAGGGTACAAAATTCCCCTTTCCAAAAAATATATACATATATATACATAATTATATAATATTTTAGATATTCATCCTATATAAACTATTAAATCTATGTACCCCTAAGTACTACTGGTAGCACTCTGTTTGCATCCAAAAGTATCAGAAAGTGAAACATTGATATTCAAATGAAATCTATGTATAATTTTAAGGTTCAAATAGGAGATATGAATCTGCAGCATGACATGAATTAAAAGGGATTTTTGTAACAGTCTACAGAAAAAACCAACATAATGAAACAAAATGTGCTTCTCCAAGTTGAATATACAAAAGCAAAATGTAGAGAAGAATGAAAAAATATCATCAAAGACACTGCTGGCTAAACAAAATGAGTTTCATGAAATTCAGAAGATTTACAGCAGATCTCAATTCATTTTCAATTAGTTATTAACACAAGCATTTAAGAACATATCTGGAGACTTAAAATATCCAAAGAAACACAAAGAATAATGTATTGAATTTATGAAGCAATTGAATAAATCTTTTTTTTCACAACATCATTCACATCTAATATTCTACATTGAACCTTCCTCTAAAATTAAAAAATACAAGATTAGTATAAAATTTTTGGTTCAATATAATTACATAGGCATCACAATCTTATTTTATTAGAGAAATTAGTATCTAAATCCAACAGCCAGCAGAATAACAACATCAGGCATAAAAAAACAGAAGAAATAAAGACAGCAACATTGAATTTATACCTCAAACCAATGCAAGATTGTTGAAGCCATTTAGCATCATGTAAGCTATGATATGTGCCAAAGATTTATGCTTGTAAGCACATCTATTATTAATCACTTTCATTTCCAGACCAAAAAAAAAACCATTTCATTGTTGAATGCTTTAATTAATTAAAATGGCATAAATCAAACCCATTGCATTAATATGTGCACTCTATTTAAAAGTGGCTCTTCAAAATAAACTATATTTACATGGATCTTTCAAATAAAAAAGGAAAAAAGTAGAAGTTAGTATCTGGTTATATTAATAAATCTATTTTTCTACCTACATTTCAGAACATTCTCAAATGAAAAAGAAGTGACCATAATACATCTGTCAAATGAGGTGATAATATTTGTAATAGCAGAAAACCTGAAGAAGAATAATTATGCAGTTCTCTGTACACTTGTTTACTGTAAACAAGAGGTGAAAGTTGATTCTCAGCAATGTTATCAAGATATGCAGACTAAACATATCCCTCCACATGTCCATCTAGGGATCAATAAGCGAAATATGAGGTAGAAATCCATTTTCTTGTCCAATTTTTTTAAAACACCATCCCATTACTACCACATGCTACACTAATGGCCCAAAACCATCTCTTTCATGGTACTTTACAAAAAAGACTTTAAATTACACTAAATAGGTCAGTCTTCAGAACTGGGAATATTGGTTATCAAAATAGCACGTCATTCAGCTGAGTATAAGGAACTGGTCATTTATTATAGGTGTATATGGAGTCATTCCATTTTCCTCTTTGCAAAAGAAAACAGCCCTGAAGGGACCAACAACAAGCTACTCTTTAAGGACCACATTACTTTATCCAGTGCCAAGAACATAGCCTCTGGAAATTAGATACAAGTGAAAAATGAAAATGTACCTGCCCCTCCTCCCCTCCTTAACATAAATGACCAATCCCTAATTTTGGAAAGGTGTCAAGCTGATGACTTCAATGCCTACAGTGAGCAGAAGTGACACCACCAGATTCAAAATCATTCAGTAATCCAAAGTGATCAACAATCTTTGTAATGTCTCTCTGTTATACTGACACTAAAAATAAAATGAGTCATTGTTGGTTTTTAACACTAAACAAGACTTTTTTTGGAGATGAAAAAAAAGTTTGTTGTGTCTTTTTTCATCATAGAGAGGAAACTTGCATATGGGCAAGGTTTAACTTAACTCCAATTCCCTATAGTTTTAGAACACAATGTGATAATAAATGCTCAGGCTCAATGTGTAATGACAATAACGATTCAATTGGGAAGATTATTAAAATTTTAGTATCCCTATACCATTGCTTCACAAAGTTTAGTGTTAAGATACAACAAATCTCTTCTCATCTCCTGATTTCAAATATTGAAAAAGAATATGTTAATTAGAGTTGTAGATATTGTTGTTTAAAGACTAACATATACTGAAGTATTCCAGTACCATTCTCCCTACAATATATTGATTAAGAGATATCCAGGATCTTAATTACACTATGGGATTTCCTGTAGCACAATATGCTGTTTCTCTAAGTGGATTTACAAAATTTGCATGACATTTTAAATGGTACTTTTCGTGTCAGTCAATTTTCACAACCACATTTCTATTTTTTCCCTCACTAGTCTAATTTCATGGTTCAATAAGTGGACGTAACCTTATAGTACAGTAATGAATCATCCTATATCTAAACAAACATTACATTCCGTGTGATTGTCTCTTGACAGTGGCCAAAATAAAAAGCTGCGAACAAGTTACGACATTATTATCACTTTGGGGGCGTTTAACTTCAGAACGCTGTTTTGGAAGATGTAAAATTCATGGGCAATTCTTGACACCGATTAATAGTATTGTCGCCGAAATACCTCAATCACAAAATATCTGTTAGGCCTTAGCTTGCCTACAAAGAGAGCGAACACTTCTCGGAATCCACTAATCTTTTTAGTTGTTAACTTCACCTAATATGCTATCACTTTTTGTTTGGTGACATAAAACTAAATGAAAATTTTGTGACAAAGAACGCAATTCCAAGGTTTCCAGAGAGTATTCAATTTACTATCATGAAATTTTTCAGATCACGGCTGTTTGAAAAAGTATAGCTTTACTAAGCTAAACATGTTTAATGCTAATTCCCAATCCAATTTTTCTCAATAGACTTGAAAAGGATCCACTCTTGCTTTTCGTGAGAATATGCAAATAATAGGCTGTCCTTTGCAATAATATTGTTATGTCTCTGTCGTTGAAACAGCTCCTAACCTGCTGGTTATGGTTTAAGGTTAAATTAATCTGTTTTGCTTGTCACAAACCGATCTGAAGCTAAACAAGGTTCGTAAATTAAAAGTATGCCAGTTCTTGAACATAATGAAAGTACATGTAACATCAACGGTTCGTTTCGAACTATAAACAAAAGTTTACACGCTCAGTTTGACAACTGCAAAATGTACATTTATCTATATGAACTACGAAAACGAAACTTTCGATTTTCAAAATTCACAGCACTGATCAAACAGTCACATTTTGATTTTCTTCCCTCCAAACCGTATCAAATCGAACATTTCAAAGTTGATGAAGTTTTAGAATAAAAGAAAATCTCGTCTTCGCTTCGGTTGACCGATAATTAATAGTTTTAGATAAAAGAAATACTAATAAGTTTATACAACCCAACTCTTGGAAATTGTGCCGCCTGAGTGAAAACAGTCGGATTGCCATGACAGATTCAAAGTAAGAGAGACACCTTAACAAAGCTTAGCCCATATAATCTCATCCAATTTGGTGGTCTTTAGTTTTATTCCTCAATCAATTTTAGTCTCTAACAGTTGAACACACTTAGTCAATGGAGATCGAGTCATCGCACACAGAATAAACACCGGAGGCTGCTAGCTGCGGTTAGCAGCAGGATTTTACCACTCACCATTTTAAATACTCACCCAGAATAAAATCTGCAGGTAGTTCGGCCATACTTCTCTAAGTTTTCAACACTGTTTTACCTTTCCGGTTTCGCCGATATTTAACGATACAAACGTTGGAATTTCGCGCCCGTCGCTGAGATGAAATCAATACTGACTCTTGACGTAAAATTTAC